CCGCTTTTATTTCGTATTCTCACTAATCTGGTTATAGGGAAATTACTCGTTACTCGTTTAATTTCCCAACATATTGAAGCTTTAATCTTAACGAGAAACAAGTTCAGGATCAATTCGGGAATGGAACACAATGCTTGATTGATAAATCTTTATGGGAGAGCAGGACTGATAGATGAGGCTTTCAGCTTGATAATGGACAGAATGGAGATTGAGGCAGGTCAAACTGTGTGGGGGAAATTGCAGTATGCTTGCTCGGTCCATGGAAATATAGAGATAGGAGAGATTGCCGGTCAAAATTTTTTGGAGCTAGAGCCGGATAACAGACATAATTTTGAGCCATTGATGAAGATTTATAGTGATGTAGGTAGGTAGGAGGATGTGGAGAGAGTTAGACAAATGATGTTGAACAGAGGATTATAAGAGTTAAAGCTTGAAGCTTACCTCAAGAAACTGACATGATACTAGTAGTAATATTTGGCTGAGCACAGGAAGCATCCATTTCTGCAACGTTTCCTCGAAAGGGAAAGGACGAATAAAGGCAGAATCCATTTCCCATATTTTGAGTGTGGCCTTCACATTTACTCCAGTTGCATTGTTGAACAAGAATAGCCGAGCAGCTCCATAGATGGCTTTTGTCGGATAAATTCTTGACGTTATCACCGTCTTCCCTCGTGCAAAGCTCTCCACCACTGAATGATCCACCTGAGTCATTCATCGTTGTAGTCAGTGGTAAAAAAACTTTATCAACCAGCTGGAAGAATATTGATCTTCGCTTACCAATACCCTCATGCTGTAGTGCTCATCGTCAAGCACCGGAACTTTGTCGCCATACACTCGTTTTAAGACATCAGAAGCTTCAGAAGACCTTGTTTCGTCGGCACAAAAGTAAGTCTTAAGACTACCATCAGGCGAAATAAGGGGACGGAAATATACAGGAGTCAGCTCTGAAAGTGAAACATCGGCAATAAGCAGGATTCGGAATGGCCCGTAAGTGCTTCTATCAACTGCACCGTCACCGCAACCACCGACTTCATCTGTGGTATTAGGTACCGACAACTCTATTCCGAACTCTGCTAGTATATCTAACTGCATTAATTAATGGTTACAAGAGAAATTGATGATTAATAAGTGAAGGACTATTGATTCATTTTAAAGAATGCTAGTCACATAACCCGAGTAGCGGTGCCTATGTCGAGGGGCACAACTGATCCTGCTTCGATTATAACCTCCTTGAACACTGTGGCATTCAATCTCAAGCTCTCTACTTCTTCCACTGGCCATTGAAGTAAATGGGTTCCTGTCTTGTTGTCATACACAACAGTCCTGGGAATTGTCTATAAAATGCAGAATCAAAATAGTATCACGAATCGTATGCATGTATATATGACTATGGGTCGGATCAAGTTTTTGGCTCATCTCTGACCTAAAAATTAGATCCTTGACTTGCACCCTAGTGGACCCAAGTTTAGAAGGGTCCTACATGATCCCAAACTCGACCCAATCTTTTAGGTCAAAACTTGCATTATACCCGACCTGGTCTAAATATGTATATAATTCATTTTTTTAGATAAAATAAAGATCTATTCAAAAAATAAAATTAATTGGATATTAAAAAAAACCCAAGTTGCTAACTAGTATAACCGTTATATTTAACATGTTAATTAATCGAACCATTAATACTAAACGTTTTCAGTTAATCGACCAGCTAAAAATAATGGTTAACGGTTAAGATTACGGTTTCGAATTTTGATAAACGGTTAATCGTTAATAATTAAAATTTTAATTTATTGTATTTTTACATAAATAACTTAATATAAGTTTCTATTATTTATAATTTATATATATATATATTTAATAAAATTTGTATACAAATAACTTAATATATATTTTTTTTATTTTTTTATTTTTAAAAAAATATAGAAACATACTTGTACTAATATAATTATATGTTTATTGTTAGGTACTAAGATATCGAGAAATGTACCTACTTACATCGGTGTAAGTATGTATTAAGTGCTACATTTGTTTATTTTATTCACTTGCACCGGTGTAATACATCTTTTTGTAGTATGAATTATGAAAATAAATTTGATAAATAATTGTAATAGGTTAACCTACGGTTAACCTGTAACCGAACCATTAATAATAGTTAACCATTACCGATTAACCGTTTCTTAATGGTTAGGTTACGGTTAAAAAAATCTCATAACCGTTATAACGGTTAACCGACCATTTAGCTTAAATGGTACGGTTAATCGTCCATGAACAAACCTAGATATTATTACAATTATCTCTAAATATATAAGAGATAATTGTAATATTATAAATCGAGTCAGATTTTTTTCATTTTAAACCCAAATATGAACTTGACCTGACCTCATCTTAAAAACTTTAACTCGATCCGACTCGAATTTAAACTTTTAAAATAAAAAATTGACCAGACAGAATTGGGATGAAATCCGGGTGAAATGGCCATATCTATGTATCATGTATGTACCTGAACAGAAGCCCACCTCTTTTTGAGGTCAGCGTTTCCGGTATCAGTTTCGTTAACCCAACCAAAGAGAATCCTCCTTTGTTTAATCTGCTCAAAAAATGTCTTTGAGGCATAGTATCTCCCATAATCCACCTTCAACCCGATGCCTACATCTTCTTCCGGGTCATCGGGCGTCCACTTATCCAATATCGGGTCATAGGTCCGAGTGCGTAATGGTCCACCTTCGTGTCATCCAAACTAGCCTTTAGCACATGCTTAATTCCAGGTCCAAGTGCCGATGTGTCCAACCCGACCGACCCGTTTATTGAAACCGGGTAAAAATCCACACATTCCCACATACCCGTACCCGGAACAGCATGTAAGACCCCATCCAATAATTCATAATCCGTAAAGTTTGTTGTTTGATAAACAAGGGCCATTCCTATGGTGGAATTACACATTGAGCCAACCGATATCCCCCAGGAACCATCCGGTCCAAGCCAAGCGTCGTTTTAAAGTCGTCGTTTGCAATATAGATATGATTTTTTAAAGTCGTCGTTTGCAAGAAATAGGGTAATCTACATATTTAGTATTTAAACGGTTAGTTTTAGTCCATTTTAATACTTAAATTTTTAATATTTTTAAAATCACACCTAACATTTATTTTTTGTTTTAATTTAATACACATCGTTAAAAACTTAACTCGTTTATTTTTATTAAGGAAATATGTGTATTTATGTATCAAAACACATATTAAAATATAATAATTTTAATTTATTTTTATTAAGTGATTAGATTTAAAGTTTTTACTCATGTATTGTAATCCGATTAAATTCATATTCATGTTAATAGGTGTATTTGACACATAAATGCACAATTTTTTTGGACAAAGTAAATTTATCTTTCTTTCTTTCTTTTTCATTTAAGTTAACCTTTTTTAATTTTTATATTTTATTTAACTTAATCTTTCATTGAGCTTATAAAAAATTATGTTATGAAAGTCGTCAATAACTTCAACAACATTGAGTAAGGAAGAACAAAGATGCATGCTCATATGCTATGCGTAGTGTATGTGGGGTAGACGTTTGCAAAACCCAGTTAGGTAGGAGTTAAAAATGAGGCGATGATAGTTATGAGAATTCACCGTCAGGATCTGAAGCAGGATACATGAGGTTCCAAAACCAACGAGCAACAATTAGAGAAGAAAAGACAAGAACATTCGATCATTAGGAACCAAACATAAAGGGATATCAAATGTAACCTGATTAGGTAGAGCCTTATATACCATTCATCCAATTCATTTGAGGCTGAAAGTGGTAGGCACTTCTTTGCCAGTAAAACATAGCGTTTGTTCAATTATGCCAAACCTTGTCCAAAACACCTTCGGCAATCCCTCTCGGTTCACCGTCGGGACTTGCTAATGGTTCTGGGCTTTTGTTTGTGACTAATGTGAGCTGTAGGATTAGGAAAAAGACGGTGCCAAATATTATGGGAAAACTCTTTAAGGATGTTCGAGGCAGCGCTCCGGCGGAGGAGGAGTGGTGTAGGAAGGTGGTGGCCTCCATTTTGGGAGAGGTTGTGTAGTTGGTTTTACTTGTGGAAGAGATGTCACATAAATACAAGTAGGGAGAAATTAAGTGGAAAGTGGGTTAAAGAGAGAGGTTGGATGGGCGGTTGTCTATTAGATGAGGTATGGTGAATGGCTATTGGGTTGGGCACAGTGAAACAAAGAGGGACTGTTTGAACTTGGAAAGTTAAGGCCATGCACACGGCTCTACCTGCTACTCAAACTTAGATTAAGCTACCTTGGATTTAATCTCTCTATCTATCAACTTAGATATTAATAATCTTTTGATTTATATGAATTCATAATTTAACCGGTTTTTTTATTAAAATATTTAAATTTTAAACTTTATTTATCTAATTATTGATTTCAAATATTATCTAATAAAATATTTAAATTTATCAGAGCCTCTACATATACTAGTAACAAGATTAGTATGCTGAAAGATTTGGCATTATTTTCTTAGTCTCGTATAAATGTAGAAAATGGAAGAGGGATCATGTAATTTGTGTTTGAGATTTGAGTAAACAGAATGTAGGGTTTTGTTCTTTACGTGGGATGGTCCTGTTCTATAAGCAGATGGGATATTGATCAATTAATCCAGATCGGGTATTGCAGAGGCGAGTGAGACCCTCCCAACCCTGTTTGCTCCATTCGTAAACGTCAGGATTCGAACCCTGACTTTGCTTAAGGAACTTAGTGTCTCATCTCACTAGACCAACTGGTTGTTGGTCTATTGAGCCATTTAATTGCCATAGTAGTTTTACTCGGTCATCTTCTCTAAAGCCCAATATCAGATATAAGCCCTGATAATTGCCTTATAATTAACCGTGAAAACTAGTATAATTAACAGAGAAACATCAATGCATGAACTTTCTGTTGTGAATAATAAATAATAAGCTCAACTTATTGGGTTACAAACACTCAATGAAAATGAGGGTTAAAAGAGAGAAAATTGAATGAAAATAGAATCCAACAGGAGCTCGTAAATTCATAGAAAAATGCGTTTCTATACTTGAAAGAATGGGGGGGTGGGAAATCGTGTTGCTATCAACGAGAAAAGATAACTGAAGCAGGAATATACAGTTAAGACAAGAAGCATATGGTTGAGTAGATCTGCCTTTCATCTCTCCAATTCTGCTCCCTGCGTTAACTAGAATATATACGCTTTTCTTATTCTCTGTGTATTTTTCTTCTCTATGTTGTTTCTTGTATTCAGCGAGCACTCGTCTTCTTCCATGTCACCAGTGATTTAAGAAACTCCATGACCTGGATGGATGATCATGATTTATTTCAATAATCCAAGCTATATTCGACATTAAGAATATAAAAAAATGATAATATTCAGTACCTCTTGTGGATCCCTAAGGGAGAAGAATGCATTACTCTCCTTGGGCACGGATGATACTAAAATGCCATACCCACAGTTTCCCTCTCTCAGAACCTTAAATGCATCTTCATCTGTCCGGTCATCTCCAACGTAAATGGGAAGCACATCATCACATTTGCTGATCCCTAAAGCCATTTTTTGCAAACCATTAATTTATTATGCATAGGAAAAAAGACTAGGCGCCACGACAGGAAATATATACTTACCGAGTGATTCAAGTAGAAAAGTAAGAGCTTTCCCCTTATCCCAGTCAATCACAGGCCGAACCTCTAAAACCTTCCGCCCGTGACTCAATCGTAGACGAGGGTAGTTTCTGATGACATCATGGACACATTGCGCAACTGTTTTCCAGTTCTGATTGGGAAAAAAAAGCAGCAGGTTTGCAGAAGTTAATGAATTTACCATCCCCAAAAGATATCTGCTGTTTATACCGAGGGAAGTATCTACCTTCTCGTCTACGTTACGGTAATGGACGGAGACACAGAACTTGTTATTTTCGACCTTCGCTCCATTTATTTCTTTGGTGCTTTTGACAAGTGAGTTAAAAACCTGTGAAGAATGACAATTCTTACGTTAGGAAAGAGACAAAAAGGTCAAAGGCTTCAAAGTATTGGCACATTTACATACCTCATCAATCATAGGCAGGAATTCACTAGCAGGCTGAAACAAATTCACTTCCTTGCCCTGTGTATTAAAGAGAAACAAGATTAAGATGTTACTTAAAGAAAGAGCAAAAACGATAGAAAATTTGTAGCCGGAAACCTGCTTATCAGTAGATCTAATGCAGTTAGGAGTATGGTCAGAAGGTTCCCTAACAGGACCCATGATGTCCATTCCATGACTTCCAGCGTAATACAGATCTGTTAGTCCAACAAACTCGTATACCTGAATTAAAACCAATATGTAAATATGTAACATACAGTGGCAAGAAAGATGTCAAAGTTAATAAAGAACTTGATCCGCATATCACCTTGGCACGGCTTCTTCCACTTATTATCGCCGTAGGGAAGTATTTTGCGACATTTGCTACAGCAGCTCGCATCTAAATTAAATGCTTTGGTTAGTCAATTAATAAGTACAGAACCGGGGGGGGGGGGATGGTTTGTCCGGCTAACCATTCATTCTTACATCAATAGACATGAAGGCAAGATCAGGGTTGTCAACAATTGGTGAAAGTGTCCCATCATAATCCAAAAACAATGCTATTCTCTTGCCTTTTGCAAAATTTGTGATTTGCTCAAAAGATTTTAGTGCAGATGGATACTTTACCTGTAAAACCAGAGAGTATAGTACATACATAGATCAGATCAACAACACTTCAACTTGCTTCAAAGGTAGATTAAAAAAAATGTAAAAGTGAAACAATACCATCCATGTGCGATATGCAACATCTGTATCAGCTGATAAAAGCTCATGGTTGTAGTCTCTAGTTATTTTATGACGTGGGGATGAGGATTTCATAGCATCGAGCCAGCTGCTGGCACGAACATCATCAAGAATTCCAGCTTTTTTCCTAGGAACAGTTGATAGATTTGGGGAAAACACTGAACCCGGGGGTGAGCATGGTAACAGGCCGGAAGATACTACTAATCTTGAGTTGCTTATCGTTGCAGGATCAGCAAGAACAGGAGTAGTGTGATTCGGTTTTAGGTCCATTTGGTCCAGCGTTGTATCACTACTTATAACGTAAAAGCTAACAGATTCCTTAGAAAAATGTTCAACCTCTGATATTCTAATTAGCCAACCCTTTTATCGATGAAGAACCACCTCTTTAAAGTTTTCTTGTCACTGCTGTTCAGCAAGCAATCCACCAAGCATGAAGGCCCTGAAAACTGATACAGGAAGAGTGTTAAAATGGACAAATAAAGGTAAAGATCATAATACTTTTCGAAAGAACCAGCTATCAGAATCGCACCTGTTCATATCTCTTGATTACTCTTCTTAAAACTTATGTATGGGGACAGTATCTGCAGGGAATTGATTTAAGAACTATGATTAATGTACAGATCCAAAATAACATCCACTAAAACAGAAAATAAATAATGGCCAAAAAAAACTAAACAAATTTGACAAATCCATTGATTCGAAGGCAAGAAAACATGCCTTACCAAACAAATTTAAACAATTAACTTCAGAAATCAAACGGTTGAGGGACAAAGAGGCAGAGGAAAACAAAATATATATCTTTCGACACTAACGATGTCAAATATTTGTAGAACATATCAGTCGGAAGAGGAAAATGAGCAAAGATGACACCAGGAATGAAAACCAACAGCGCAAATTAACTAAACAAACTGGGATGAGAGGAAACATGTTATCAGTCAGAACAGGAAAGCAACATCTGACACAAAACTTGCAAGGAAAGGGACGTTATAAGCATGAGAATTTTATATAAAAAAGCATAAATCATTACGGGGAAATATAGTAAATTCTACCCTCTATGACCATTCACAGACTCATATTCCTTTTCTTACCAGACGAAGTTTTGGACACTGACATTTAACACTGTATTGTGTCGTTATCTTCTTTTTAAGCAACTAGACTGCAATTTTACATGAACTTATTCTAAACTATCATGATAAAGTATGTACACCCTATTCTGGTACTTCCAAGGCAAATTGTTGCCAATGAACAATGTTCTATCACACACTAATGGAACATATATTACCTAATTATACCACTCACAGGAACCAATGCTATAAAAAAGGATCAAAATTGCAGAACATGAAACAGAAAAAACAAACTTCTGGCTAAAAATATACACAGGAACACAACACCCTCGATAACTTCAAAACAAACACCTACATCATCCTCAAATAAAGCTTGTAGAAGGCACCAAAGCCTGAATTTACATGAAAGCCAAAATAACTGGAACACAAGGCATAAATAAAACTGGCCGATATTTGTAGAGCAAAAAATAAGTAAACAGTAGTTGTTCAATGAAAAAGAGGTCTTGCCCCGCAAAGGGAAGGGAGGGAACCACGTTAAAGGCAACCACACATAACGGGCCTACACACAATGGACCCCGAGCACATAAAAGACTCATTGATTGAATTAAAAATCAATCATTATTGGAAAACCAAAAACATAAATTTTCAGGATCGGCCATACTCATGTTGCCATCATGCATGCCATCAATCAGCATTAAAATTACCTCTAAACGAATTTAAGACTTGAAGTATACCCATCAAACATCAGTAACATGTTATCATTGTTTAATCAGAACGGTTAAGGATACTACCGAATAATTCATAGACGGCTGAAAATTTAAAGATTCAACTACCGGATAATTAGTAGACAGCTGGTTTTGAATCGTTCATATAATAAGTGGGGAGGTAGAAAATGCACGTACAATTGTAATTTACTATATTAAAAAAACTATCTCAAAGTTGAAAATAAAAAAGAATACTGTAATATAATATCTGACAAAGCAAATACAACTAGAAGGAGTAGACAAATTGGAATTGACTTTGACAGAATCCGCTTTGTGGTAAGGAAAAAAAAAACCAAGTATATACATAAACATATATATACATTATATTCAAGCGTGTTCAAAGGAAACAACAACGTATGCAGCCAGAAAATTATGAGATTGACTTTGCAAAACGAATAAATAGAATCTTGAAGAAAAACAGAACAGAAGGCAACTCATTGTAAATAGGCCTGTAAATGAACAGGACGCACACGAACGGATGTATGTTTATGTTCGTTCATTTAATAAATAAATGAACATAAACGAACACGAACATAAACGAACAAATTTTTTTTTGTTCATGTTCGTTCATTAAGGAATATAGCTTGTTCACGTTCGTTTATTTAATAAATAAACGAACACGAACATAAACGTTGGAGACCCTACCTTCCATTGTTCTTTCATGAAAAATAGTCGACAATGCAAATCAACCAAATATACAATGATAAATAGCGTAAGAGCTAATTAGCAGTGATGAAATGTTTGAAGATATTAGATATTTCGATCGATCTTTTAAAGATATTAAATGATTCACACGACTTTAATTTAACGCTATAACATTTATCTTAGTGGTCCATGATTACATATGAACAATCATTTTCCACTACGTTATTATGATAAATTCGCCGGCTAAAAGTTTTGTGACATCAATATCAAACTTTAGTGAGATTTGTTAATAATGGTCATTTCTGTTGGCAGAGTAGAAAATTTAATAGCATGAAAATTTCGAACGGTACAAATTGGACTACCAGGCAATAACATAAATCTGAAATCCCTCCGATGTTACATATCGTAACCGATATTATTACTAAACTACCATTTAAAATTTTAACGTACCTAAAGTCTACTTTAGCTAAAGGTCACACAAGAACTATAAAACACAAAAGTTCATTGTCAAAGTGTATTTTCTACTTATTAATGGGTTCTTCCTGGAAAACCCATTATTTTCGCTATTACACTCTTTTTCAGAAATTACATAGAAACCTTTGTTTTGTTTTCTGACAAATTCTATATATTTTTCTCTTTATTGATGCTCATATACTTCTGATTGTTACATTTATCTTTTCATCTATTTCTAGAAAGAAGCATGATGTTTTCTTGAGTTTTAGATGTGAAGATACTCGCAATAACTTTACATATTAACTATTAAGCCAAATAAAACAGAAAAAGAGATGAAAACAGACCTGTAAAACTTCAGATTGCACTATAATATAATTTGTTTTTTAAGCTTTCACCGATCATCTCTACTCTCTAGTGAACATTAGAATTTGGAGAAAAAAAAGGGAAAATGAATATAAGTGCGAGGTGCCTCACGAGTTAACATATTGAATTTAATATCCAAATAAAATTGGGTTAATCATGGAGTTGGTCATCAGAATTTTTACATTAATTAATATTTTTAAGATACTTACAAATTGGCCACCAAAATTGATTTAAGAAAATTGAGTCATAAACAAACATAACCGAACGAACATAAACGAACATAACCGAACGTTCACGAACGTAAATGAACGAACGAGACTTATGTTCGTGTTTGTTCATTTAATTAAACGAACACAAAATTTTGTTTATGTTCGTTCGTTTAATAAATAAATGCACATAAACGAACTTCCCGCCACACGGTTCATGAACGGTGAACTCATTTACAGACCTAATTGTAAAAAGAGGGAGAAAGAAACTTGATTTATAAAAAAAATTATAGCAAGCAACTGTTATTACCATTAGAAAATCAAAATGGAGAAATCCTCTAGAAAGCAGAGATTTTCATATTCATAATATTAAGAAAGCTCGAGTAATCGAGCGAGCAACGAAGAAAAGTCAGCCAACGAAACGGCATCGCGCACGAAAGGAAAAAGTCATAAAACCTCACCTAATTTAGAAACCTTGACATAAAACGAAGAAAAAAAGAAACGACGCCGGAGAGGTGCAGGAAGCTTCGAGGGCAGAAGCCGCGCGCAAAAGAGCAATCATTGAAAGAAGGAATGAACGAAAGAATGAGAAGCGATCAACAAAATGTTTAATGCATCATTTACTTGTTCAAGAATGAAAGAAAGCCGTGATCATATTAAAAAGTACAAACAAGAGAAGAAGCTTGCGACGCCGTGATGAAATAAACCACTGCCTTCATTCCATCTTCTCGGCGAGAAAACAACGAATAAAAAACAAGGAAAATGTGAGTAATCACCTGAGGAGGAGAAGGAATCGCAGAAACGAGATAATCAACGGAAAATTTGTATAAATACCGCATCGATTGTTAATGCATGCGAGAGAATGGAGATTAAAATGGTTTTAAAGAATGAAAGAACTGCCTTCATTCCATCTTCTCGGCGAGAAAACAACGAATAAAAAACAAGGAAAATGTGAGTAATCACCTGAGGAAGAGAAGGAATCGCAGAAACGCGATAATCAACGGAAAATTTGTATAAATACCGCATCGATTGTTAATGCAGGCGAGAGAATGGAGATTAAAATGGTTTTAAAGAATGAAAGAATTACAGTTAGATTCCAGGAGTGCAATCACAAAGCAAACTCTATGAAGCAAGAAGTAAGTCGAGCAAAATACCTCTGTTACTGGGAAATGGTATTCCTCACTTTCCCTGTTTGTGCGAGTAAATTGGTGGAGCGAGTAGATGGGAAGAAGTGCGAGAGCGCGTAATTATATAGGCTTTAGAAACACCCCTTCTTTATTTGTGTATATATTTTGGCACGAATGAAGGAACTGACGATGATAAAATAATTGTTGTAATTTTTTAAAATATTAAATTTAAATATTTAATATCAAATGGTTTATAACAATGTTGTTTTTGAGTTTTGGGACGAAAGAAGGAGAGGGGGCCCACATGGGATCTTGATTCTTGAGGGAATCGCGGAGGACACGTGGTAGAACTCTGTGCATCGGATACGCGTGTGGACACCTGTGGTTGAGTCGAGTCTGACGTGGCATGGATGTGCTGGACATGTTTTCAGCGTACCGTCACTTTCAATCACTGCTGGAGTTGTCGTCGGGTTCTGGGCAAAACCCTTTGGTTTCACGTTCCAATTTGATGGGGAATCATCCGTTGTTGCCTTCTTATTTTACATCATCAATATTAACATAATTATACATAAAATAATAATATATTATTTAATTGATTTTAAGGTAAACAACTATGTTTAACACTCATTTATAAATTTTGTTCCATTTTAGTCACTCAATTATTTTTTGTTTTAAAATTAAGCAAAACATTATATTTTAATTTTATTTTGGTCACATACCATTAAAAATAACAATGATATTGATGTGTCACAATAAGATAATACCACATCATCATTAAAAAAATACCATGTCAACAATTCTATTGATTTTTTAACGGTGAGTGATCAAAATAAAACAAAAAAGTAACATAGTATAGTTTAAAAAATAATAATAATTAGGTGACCAAAATAGAAAAAAATGATAGTCAAGATACTAAACATATAAAAATTACCATTGATTATACAATAATTTAACTGTGGCTTATGTTTAGTGATCATAAGTACCAATCATGAATATAAAAATCAATTCAAAGGTCTGAAATAATATAATACCAATAAGAAAAGCAATATCAGCTTTAACCATAAAAAAATGGTACAAAACAAATAAATTATGTTATAAGAAAAATACTATCATTTTTTCAAAATATAAAATTTATTAAAATAAAAATTATTGTGCTTAAAATTGGAAAATTATAAATTAAATATATGGATTCATGAGATTATAAATTAAACCTTCCATGAAAATCATGGGCATACCTTCCCAATTTATTATTATGGCAAGTCATTTTCTAGTTGTTGAGGTCATGTACATGCCACCATCGTCGTCATAGATATCTATTTGTTTAATATAATTGACCCTTTAATTATTAATTGGTAATAATATAAAGGAGTTGAGGAAGAATAAATAACAAACTTAATTAAGTTGCCGTGCTTGAAGCGTGGCTTTGAAAAGTAGGAATCTGAACTAATCCTTCCAATAAACCGTGCGTGAGGCATTAAAAGTGTTACCACCCTCACTTTCCGGGTTGCTTCTTCAGCCTTTTCAACGTTACTAAAAATACAAATAAGGTGTTTTAAAATTTATGACCAATTTAAAGTGTATTATTGGCGTAATTAACCTATAATAAATAATAATCAAGTAATTAATTTTTCACAGTATTAATGTGACTACCTCAAACAGCAGCAGCAGCACCTTTCAATCATTTGATTCGAACAGCCCAAGTCTTTGCTCAACTTTGAAACCGTTGTTTACTCGAAACAAATTACAATTATTTCTTGAAGGCCAAATTTGAAAATTCGATAACCACTCAACCAAGTGAACAAAGTTTGTCTATAAAAAATTCAGAGACCAATCTGTAATCTGACTGGCGAGGCTATGCAGGCATTTCTAAATTTGTATGAATCAATGACCGATGATGGCATCCGGTGTAAATTGTAAATTTAGTTCTTTGCCAAATAGATGGTTAATGACAAATTATGCTAACAATGCAAGTTATTCAACTTATTAAACGACTTCAATAGTTAAGAAAAGTATTATTCTTCTTAAAGATTCTGAATTCGAGCAGCTACGTCTGTAAGATGTGTATAATGGTGTTAAAAATTTTATGATCACCCCAAACAATTCCAAAAATAATAATAATAATAATAATATAAACTATTAAAGGTATGATTTTTCACCCCTCAATTAACTTATATATAATCTAAGACCGAAGGACATTGTATAATCAAGACAGTCCTAACAAAAAATTATAGTCATAATATACGAGAGAAAATATTTTTATATTTTAATTCTATATAAAAATAGAACACATCAAAGAACTTTAATGGTTAAAGAGGAGTCATACTATCTAAAAATATTGGATTAACAATAGATGTGTATACACTATCATCAATTCATCAACTAAGAAAATTTAAATATATAGTGTGTTTTATCTCCTCATTTTCTATATATATTGATATTATCTTTTCAAAAAGTAAATAATTTTATTCTAGTTTCTTGTAAAACTACGTATTATAAGTAAATCTTACCAGATAATATACATAATAGTCTATCTACATAATCCTTTATTTTAAGAAGTATAGTGTTATTTTAAAAAAACACTTCCAATTGATACTTTTCCTCTCCTAGGTTGTACATTCAATATCCATTCAGAAGAGTAAAATTTACTTTCTTCTTCCTCCTAGGTAGAAATTGTTTTTTCTTTAAAAAATAATTTTTTTAAAGAGTTAATAGTTACATAATACTACCAAAAAAATAATTGAGAATTTCAAAGTCCCACCATGGAATGGATCAACACTTTCCCAATTGGTGGGATCAATTCCCCCAAGTGCACCAATAGTTAACTTAGCATCTTCATTTTTCACGCCAATAACTTTAACTATCACATATCTTTTACCATAATAACATCACCAAACCCCTTTCCCCCCCCCCCCCTCTTTATATACACACATGGAACCATCCGTCTCCAATAAATCTGTAGGAAGACTTTTACCTACCCTTCAGATATCACATTTGGAGAAGATTATTCACAGTAACCGTAACAGAATTTGTTCTCTGCAAGTCCTGCAAATTGGAAACAGTATAAGAAATATAATGGGTGGGATTGATTCACTACCCAATGGGCTTTTTTTCTTTTGGTCTCAAAAAGGGTGATAAACCAGCTAAACAGAAACAACTTAAAGCTGTTTACCAAAAACCTTAATCTACTGCAGTAACTCCTAACAATACCTGAAAAATAAGCTCATCTGGGACATGTGGCAAAACCTCCCGTACGGTCTCCGCCATGGCAAGTATAGTTGCTACACCGTCGCTTGCTGTGCGTGCAGCAGTCCTAATATGTAAACTACCAGTATTTGCAGGATATCTTCCACCAATGTTTGGAGGAGCAGATGAAGCAGATGCAGCAGCCTGAGATGGGTTCATGGGCCAAAGGCTCCAAGCAGTATCTTCTAGAGCAGTCTGGGCATAAGTTTCTCCAACAGATGCAAGATGCCTCATCATCATATGAACTCTCCCGAGTCCAACTGATCTACTATCGGTAGAAGGACCAGCTCCATCAACATTCTGGTTTGGCCAAGAATGCAACCATTCAGAATCCAGTCCTGCACCCCTGCATAGAGCAAATGATATATATCCTAATAAGCACAATGAATAAGAATAAATGGTGCAACAATCTGCAAATCGTTTATAAATAGCTGAATAAGATGTTGGTTTGAGAAAAAAAATAAGAATAAATTATTAAGGCGTTTGAAGCTTATAATCTCTTTCCCCTCATATACACCGACAGAAGAAATAATGCACAGAAGAGAGTTATCTCCCAAAAAGCTAGGAGGACACCACCTTTCACATTCCCACTAACAATGGATGAACTAATAATGTCACAAGGTTATAGTCAGGATGTAAAGTGTAAATGTTCATACTATTTTAGTAACTTCTCAATTAAATGATTGTTCAAATGGAAAGGTATAACAACCTTTAATTCTAAGTCAAGCTATGAAGAATGATTTGAAAGAACCATACCTCCCAGGGCCACCTTCTGCAGTATTCTGCATTTGATTTGGGAATACTCCTGTAGGCAGGCTGTGACCAGGCATATTTGGCCGATTTAGTTCAGAATTTATCTGACGGGCCAACTGCTCATCACTTAAAGTTTCTGCGGTGTGAGAATTTGCTTCATTTTCTCTTCTTCCCAGGAAAAGTGGCTTTCTACATGTGGGACAAGAGTAAACTTCATTTAAGCCTTGGTCCAACCTGGCATGGTATGTTAATATCCAGCATTAGGTTCATCTGCACACTTGCAAACAGGGTTTTAAAAAACGGTCCGCGACCGTGATTTCGGCCACGATATAGCGGTTTCGCCGCCGTCCGAGTTACCCGCAATGGCCGCAATCACGGTAAATCCGAAATAACCGAAAACGCGACCGCGACCGCGATTTGAAACCCTGCTTGCAAATACACAAGCCAAACTTCATAATATCATATAACCATACCAGGATCTCAAGCATGCAAGATGAAAAAGGTGATTACAGTGAAGCTTTTTAGCCTTGGCCATAGGTTCCTGTGCTTTGTGAATTTAGTTAGAACTTCAGAAATCAGTAGAAAAACCAGAAAAGGCACAATAAAAACCAAACCATACCCGACATATGGCACATTCATCATCATATGCTCGTATCTCTTCAGATGTCGCATCAGGGAGTGCTCCATGAAGAGCCCCAAATGCCATTCTCAATTTAATAAATCCCTTTATACGTTTCACAATTGCACTTAGCAAAGCCTGATAAAAAAATATTTATTTTGAGAATAGAAGTAAAGTACATTGGGATGTCAACTTATGGATATATTGGACTGTAACGTAACATAAAGAACAACAGAAATTTACACGTATATTCAAGAAAAGAACTGCATCCACAAGATGGAATGCCATGCCATGGAGCCACCATATAAGAACATAGTGTCCGAGTGCCATCGACAGTGTTGCCATGTCAAGGAGGAAACCTAGATTCCAAATAAGAATGCCCTTCCATTCCCAAAATGAACCTGCAGTGATGTGGAATTGTTATAAGAAAACAAGTGGAGGCAGATAGAGCAGGGAACAAATAGAAAAAGATAACAACAAGAGAGAACCAAGTATTTCAGCAAGATGACCAAACAAGAGAACAACCATTCTAAAAATGGAAAAGGTTACATAGTAAAGGATGCAAAGAACTTATGAATTAATGAGGAAAGAAACTCGTGGAAGAGTAAAATAACATTCAAGCCCAGAAAATTTAAGAAATTACAGAACCAAAGGTATAAACTTTCTAACGTGAAAGACTAGGGTATTGGGTCTCATACATGCAAGGAAGACCTTTGCAATTTAATTAGCAGAGCATATGACACAGTTGACTGGCAGATTCTTCTAAGGCTTTTGAATGTCATGGGCTTCGGTGAAAGGTGGTGTTCTTGGATTTCACAGTGTATTTCCACTGCCTCAATCTCGGTTTTAGTCAATGGGTCGCCTACAGAGGAGTTCCCAATAGCTAAAGGCTTGAGACAAGGATGTAGCCTTTCTCCTCTTTTGTTTAACGTGGCTGGTGAACTACTTCACATGATGTTATCCAAAGCTGTGGAAATTGGCCTATTTCAAGGGTTTGCATTTGGCAAAAACCAAAATAATTTCACTTTGTCACATCTTCAGTTTGCAGACGACCTTATTATTTTCTGTGGCGCTTCCATTACTCAGATAAAGAATGTGAGACGAGTTCTGAGGATTTATAGCTTAATGACGGGACTTCATCTTAATTTAGCTAAAAGCAAACTTTTTGGCATCAATGTGGAGGATGATATCATGGGAGATTGGGCTGCGGCTATTGGATGCTCTATAGGTTCATTTCCGACCATTTACTTGGGACTTCCGTTAGGGGCAAAAAGAAATTGTGAGAAATTGTGGGAGCCGGTTCTTGATAATTTCCACAAGAAACTAGCGGGGTGGAAAGCCTCTTCCTTGTCATTGGCAGGTAGATTGGTGCTTATTAAGTTGGTTTTGTCATCTTTACCTGTTTTCTTTCTATCTTTTTTCAAGATGCCTTCTACTATTTGCAAGAAGTTAAATTCTTTGATGGCGGCTTTTTTATGGGGTGATGGGGCCGAGAAGAAGAAAATGCATTGGGTAAGTTGGGATAAGATTTGCAATCCTTCGAGTTGTGGAGGTTTGGGAGTTGCCAACTTGAAATATTCTAACCGAGCCTTGTTGGGAAAGTGGGTGTGGAAGTTTGCTAATGAAAAAAGTTCATTGTGGAAGCGTTTCATATGCACCAAACATGATGTTAGTTGTGATTCCATGGATATTACCAAAGTCCTTTCACATAAGGACTCTTGGATTTGGAGGGGAATTGTTAATAACTTCACCAAAGATGATGTTGTTGGAGGTTGCCTTAGAGCCCATGCGAAGTTACTAGTAGGGAATGGCAAATCAATCTCATTTTGGAATGATTCTTGGTTAGGGGATGTTCCTTTGAAAATGCTTTTCCCTAGGATTTTTGCTCTTTCTCCGATCCAAGGGGGCAAGGTTGCTGATTTTGGGAGCTTCGATTCGAATGGATGGGAGTGGAATATTAGAACGAGGAGGAATCTCTGTGATTGGGAGGTGGTTCAGTTGGTGGAGCTATTGGATAGACTCAAAGACATTAAATTAACCGAATCTTTGGAGGATTGTTTGCTATGGGATGGAGTGGGGGAGGAGTTGTTTTTGGTTAAAGCTTGTAGGAAGTCTTTTCTCTATTCTAATGAAAATTCATTTTTTTGGAACAAATATGTTTGGATGGGTTTAGTTCCTCCAAGAGTTGAGGCTTTCCTTTGGCAAGTATCCCATAAAAAATTACTGGTGAGAGTGGAGTTGAAGAAACGGGGGGTTCCCTTAGGGGACGATATTTTATGTCCTCTTTGCAATCTTTGTGAAGAATCTGTTCAACATCTTTTTATTTCTTGTCAAGTTTCGTGGGAATTGTGGAATAAAATTATCGGCTTTTGGGGTATTTCGTGTGTTTTACCCTCTGATCCTCCCTCCCTCCTTAGCTCTTGGACATACTTGAAGCTTTATTCTGCCATGTGGAAGTTCATTCCAGCGGCAATCCTATGGTCTCTATGGAAATTTAGAAATGATATCATCTTTAATGGAGGTAAACTGGACAGTTTCGCTTTGTTTTTCACAGTTCGGCTAAGGTTAGCGAAATGGTTCTTAGCAAAGTATCCAAAAAGCTCTATTCAGGTGGATTCGTTAATTGTTGATCCTTCATTGGCAGACACTTGCTCAGTTATAAAAGATTTGAACAGGCCGGAGGTTAGTTGGAGTCCACCTCCAACCGACTTTTATAAAATGAATGTGGATGGAGCTGTTTGTACAGTTGGGAGATCTGCTGGAATTGGGGGTATTCTCAGAGACTGGAATCGGAAAAAGCTGATTTCTTTTTCAGAAAATGTTGGTCATACTCCTATCATCGTAGCAGAGTTGAAAGCAATCAAGAAAGGAATAGATTTATTTGTTTCTTCAGAATGGGCACCAAAGGGAAGGTTAATTGTGGAATCTGATTGCAAACTAGCAGTGGAATGGTTGGAAGATCAAGCAACTGTCCCTACTTTTCTTACTAATCTAGTTAAGGAGATAGCTTCTACAATGTCTGCGCACGAGATTATTGTGAGGTGGATTCCGAGATGCTGTAATTACGAGGCTGATAAGTTAGCAAAGGAGGGGATTGGGTGATGGGATTTGTTGTTTCAGCGAGTTGTGGCGTTCAGTAGTTATAATTTTTAGCAGTGTGTTTAAGTTTTATGTATCTTGTAGGACTGTTTTTAAGTCTTATGTAATTCTTTTGCAATCAATAAAGTCTGGCACTCTTTTCCTCCTTCCGCTAGTTGGTTCTTACCATATGGTAAAGGACCTTTAAGAGGGAGGTTTTTAATGAGGCCATCTATTCCTATCAAAAAAAAATTATTTTAATGTGAATGATGATGAAATGATGATACCCTTAGGTTTGCAGCTTAAAACAATACTTTACAAGCCATGACCTTCTCAATTAGAGAACCATTAAGAACACCCAGTCAACCTATCTATAAACCAAGTAATCACATCCATGTGTGAAGAAAAAGTAAATACCTGCAGCTGATAAATCAAAAAGTTTTGCTCTTTGGCAATCAGCACTGTTCCCTAGTGAATGGAGTAATATTTCAAGCAGCTGAAACCCATGAACCAGTATAGCCTACAGAGAATAGTAGATACAACAAAAAGCACCTCATCAAATCATGATCAAATAACATTCACGGAATAATAGTATCATAGAACATCCAGAATGAACATATCATTAAAAGGAAAAAAAGAAGCTAATGATACCTGCATGGTCTCAAAAGCAATACTCAGAGGCTCAAAAAACAACAGCAAGAACATGGATGAATTTACTGTTTTGTACAGCATAAAGCTCAGCCAAATCCTGAAATGCACCCACAATATAACTTAAATAACTAGAATATAGATTGTGACAAGCTGAGTTGCCAGCTTGAAATGAGGAAATGCTAAAACAGGTACTCTACTTCCCTCGGTCGCTACATTTGAAAGGACATCCAAAAAGTAATGAAATCAATAGATCATATATTCATTCCTAGAGGCTAGGTACTCGGAGAAAAATGTGTTTTCCCTATTTCAAAAGAAGTTAGAAGTAGAGCAATACCAGAATAAATTGAAAGAGAGGGCAAAAAGAAACACAGAAAAGACTCGAAAATATGCCCAAGGTGTAGCAGAAGGAGAAGCATTCAAGCGTTCAAATCTATCCCGGGCCAACGCTTGAAACATCTGTATCATTTGCTCAACAATATGTTAGGATGCATAAAATGCAATTCAAATTCTTCTGATGTGAGCTAAAACAAAAAACTCCATCACAAATTAAATTAAATACCTTTAGACAACATATAACAGTCAACCAAATTGACCAAAGACATGCTTGGTATACTGTTGGTGGAATTACTAATGGTAGAAAGGTCCCCTGTTTCAAAAATCATCACTATATATCAGCATTAGTGAAGAAGGAAAAAAATTGAAATATGTACCTCACAAGTAAATAACCCTGGAAACATCTCAATATAACCTTAAAATTGAACGATCCAAAATGCATAAACAATTTCCATGACTTGCTTTCACCATAAAACTATCAGCTATCAAACTACAGGCAACTTATGCCAACTGACAGAAGATACTTTTCTCTCTCTCTCTCTCTTTGTGAAGCAATTTATTCAAGCTCAATTACTCAATTTAGTTCTACGAATAAAGAAGTAACCATTGTTCTACAGATACATAACTGATACTCAAAGGAAGACTTGGAGATAGTCTATTTACTTCCTGGATCGAGAACTGGAGGTTTGTACAATCAAAGCAAACTGTTCAAATCATGTAAAACATTTACCTTGTAGATAACATAATTGATAAGGCGCTCTACTAATTTCCGAGTTTCTAAGGGGTATAGCTTGCCAAAAAATACAGTCTGCACAGCAGAAAAGAAACCAATTTAATTGGACAATGTCTATAAAAATAAAATAATTTTTTTTGATAAGATAAAAATAAAATTATACAAATTTAACAATCAAACGTTATTCAAATCAACATGCCCTTTTTTCGTCAGAAAACACATGATACCATGAAGATAAATAACAGAAACATACTAACTTTGCTAAAATTTCATCTTCACAATTTTTGAAATGGGCATCTTCTAAACTCAATTACAAGATCTTCTAACGTTCTTAGAAAGACACGAATTTAATTAAAATTTCCACAGCTTTTGTTTAAATTCAGGACTGGGAATTAAAGTTCTTATCTAGTTTTTAACTGTACCCTTTTAAAATGATTATCCCAAAGTAATTTTCACAAAGCAGGGTGCAGATTGCTCAAAACATGTTTATCTTGAATTAACTTGTCATGTACATTGCTGAAAATATTTGTTCTTTAAGTTAGAATCGTGTATTGCGGGAACTCAAATAGCAAACCACTGTTAAACTCATTTCTTAACACAAATAACCGTTGCATGATGTTTATCTCATTGTAAAGTAAAATTTACGAATACATTAAGGCTTATTGAAAGATATTAAACTGACCTTTAGAGAGAGGATGATTAGAATAAATACATTGAGCACAAAATTTGCCAGCAGAGCCAAGGAGGTATAAGAACCTAAAAGGAGCTCAAGTGCACGGTCAACATTTTCCGTATGAATAAAATTCTCGCTAATTAACCCATCATTCTGAAGTTTATCGAGTGAAAATTCCGCCCAAACTTGAAGACCTATGAAGCTTAAAGCCGTGGACATTGCTGAGATTGCCAAGTAGCTCACAGCCATCGGTAACAAAAACAAAATTTCCACCAAAACCAAACTTCCAAATTTTCATAAGAACTAAATGATCATCACTGATCGCAGGCAATAATGACAATTTTTGGATAACATAAGTAGCTCAGACTTAAAATTTGGCACGCTTAATGGTAATCAATTAAACAAATTGCAGTTATTTTGCAACCATGAGAACCTGAAAAATAAGCCCATGAAAAAAAATAAGAAAATAACCAGCCAGCAAAGCAGCATTTTAAACACACACACAGAGCAAGTATTAGCAGTTAATGAATTCATTGATGTTAATTTTTCAACTTCTAAATAACCGTGTCCTTTTCAGATCTCATAAATCGGTTTCTTTGAAATATAACAGATTGAGATGGATCAAAAAACAGCAACCGATAAAAGTGAAACGCCAACGGAATTCACAATAACTAAAGCGCAAGCATATTGAACGATTTAATTGAATAAGGAGTTAAACCCTAAGACTAAATTTCAAAGCATCGACGAACAAATAGAATCAGGAAACGGAAATAAGATAGCAACAAAATTTAGGGAATTTTGGAGATTGAAAAAGAAGGGATGGACATAAATTCATTGATTCGTCATGCATAATCTAATAATATGGAACAACTGCTTGAGTAAATAATAGACAAAAGAGAAAAAGATCGAAAGAATCCGAAACCTGATTCGATCTCATATGAGGAGATGAAGAGGAAGCAGTCACAAGACGGTAGAGGTACCGGCAAATATTCACCGGCAATTGCATGCTCTTTTTTCTTTTTTCCCCCTTTTAATTAATATATAGAAAATTTGAGTAAAATTGACAAAATAAGTTATATAGAAAAAGGATAGATAGACGGCCGGTGTCGGGTAGGTTTATTTTTTGCGGGGTAGAAAAAAGATAAATCCTCAATTACTATTTTCCTAGATATATTTGCACGAAGTATCTGTTTATATATGTTTATATATGTTTAAATATGTAAAAGTTTTGTCAACTGTTTCATAACTTAAAAAATTAAGTGTTTATATTTTCTTTTTCTTTTTTTTTATTATTTCAATTAAAAAAATTAGTTAATTTTAATTTATATTTAATTTTATTACTAAATATTAGTTTAAATATTATAAAAAATAAATGAATTTTGTAGTTCCAATAAAATAAAATAAAAACAAATATTTATTATTAATATTAATTTATGTAGATATCTATCTTTTTTCTATGATAAGATTTTGATGTATATTGTCATTAGGTCTTTAATATTTATTAGTATTAAAATTGTATATTACATCTATTACTTATGACTATAAATATAAAGGTTAAAAATATATATTTTTTTATATAAAAAATTTAGGTCAATCAAATTTCATTTAAATTTGTGGTAGAAGCATAAATATAGATATTAAAAGAATGGGTAAAGTACTGAAATGTTCCCTTGACTATAGCTTATTGCTTTGTTGAGTCATCTGACTATTAAAAGTTACAAAATGGTCCTTCGACTATAGGACGTTGCTTTGTTGAGTGCCTCAACTATTAGAAGTTACAAAATGGTCATTTAACTATTCATTATATTCCAAACTCGTTATTTTTCGTTAAAAAATTAACGATAGTCTGAGTTGAATGTTAATATGATGTCTGAGATGTGATAACAGTTTGAGATTCTGATCAATCACATAATGATGTTGAAGAATTAATTGCTCAGATAGGGTGTTTGCTACAGTTCGAACGTTGGTCGTCAGGTGGTCCGGGCGACCAAGGAGGTCGCCAAGTCGTCCGAGCGACCTGTGCTACGTTGTTGTTGCTGCTCTTCACGTGCATGGGCCATGCAATCCAAGCGACCATGGAGGTCGTCGTGCCGTCCGAGCGACCTTAATAGGTCGCCATGTGATCCCCGCGACCAAACTGCTGCCCGTGATTCCTGCCTCTACTCCCGCGCATGATGCTGCTGCAATAATGCCCTGCATGATTTGAGGCAATAATTCATGCATTATTCACACGTGAAAAATGCTTGAATTATTGCAGTAACAAGTTTAGGTTTCAGGGGCCGATTTAGGGTTATATATTGCTTGGCCATGGGTATGGGGTACGGTTAAGAAGAAAGAAAGGAAGAAGAAAGAAATGAAAGGAATAAGAAAGGAAGAAGAAGAAAGGGAAAAGAAGAGATCGGGTAAAAGTTTGTTAGTTTAAATTATTAGTTTATTAGTTTAAGTTGTATTATATTAGTTTGTCAGTTTAAGTTATATATTATATTTATATAAAAAATTAGTTAATTAGTTTCTTAGTTTCTTAGTTTAAGTTATATTATATGTAAAAAAATTATTTAATTAGTTTATTAGTGTGTTTAAACTTATATTAGGGTCTGTTTGTTTGGGGGAAAACCAATTACAGAATTGGTTTTTCCCGAAATCTCGTGTTTGTTTCATGTAATTCATTTTCCGGAAAATATTTTTCCGTGTTTGTTTCATGTAATTCGTTTTACGAAAAATGTTTTCTAGTGTTTGGTTGGAGGAAAACTGGTTGGTCAACGTAAAACATTTTCCTGGTCAACAGAATTTCCTTTGTGTTTTCTGGAAAATAACTTACGGTCTGATTTTCTGTAAGTCATTCTCTGAACTTTTCACTTCAAAGAATAAATATTCAAAATAATTTTATTTTATGAATTTAATATTAATAAAATATTTTAATATCATTTTAATCAAAATATTAATTATTAAAATATTTAAAATATATTTATTAATATTTCTAATAATATAATATTATATTTTTAACATTATACTAAAATAATCAATTATATTATAAATAATATAAGATATTATATTTTTATTTTAATAATATATAATAAATTATTAATAAAATGTATATTATTTGTTAATTTCATAGAAATGATATTATTAAATTATTAATAATTAATAATATTATTTATATATTTAATATTAATATAATAATAATATAACACTAGTAGAAAAAAGTTTAAACAACATCTTCCAAACATCGTAAAATGTTTTCCAGATGTTTTTCAGAAAAATGTAATTCATTTTATGGAAAATAGTTTTTGGAAAACGTTTTCCATAAATGTAATTCATTTTCCAGAATTCAAATTCCAGTAATTCATTTTTTAAAAAATCAATTACAGCCAAACAAACAGACCCTTAGTTTGTTTGTTGAAGTTGAAGTTATATTATAAAAAAAATAATGCTTAATTAGTTTGTTAATTTGTTATTTTAAGTAAATTATATTATAATAAAAGAAATAGTTTATTAGTTTAAGTTATAATTTGTTATTTTTTGTTGTTATGTAAATTAGTATTATATTAGATTATATAAGATTAATTTGTTTAATTTATTGTTGTTTAAAAAAATATTTTATTTACACCTACAGGGCATTATTCCACAACTTTTGTCCACTTACATATTGATTTGAAGAAAGAAAAAAGAAAGGAAATGAAGAAAACATAAATACGCAGGTAATTTGTTATTTTTTGTTGTTGTAATGTGTAAATTAGTTAGTTAATTAATTTATAGTAGATTATATAAAATTAATTTTTTTAATTTATTATTGTTTAAAAAATATTTTGTTTAAAAATAGTTATTGTTGTTTAAAAAAATATTTTGTTTAATTTATATTAGATTATGTGTAAATTAGTAAGGAGTAAAAATTGAATCGAATATAATCTTAAAATTTATAAAAATTAATTAACAAATTTGTCAGATATTTAAAAAATAAAAAAAATATCAAACTAATTATTATTATTATTAATCATTACTAAATGATTAGTATCAAATTCAAATCATTAAATATTTATAATAAATAATTATTAGTAATCATTACTAAATCATGTCATTATTAAATCATTAAATATCAAATCATTAGATTAATAATAATTATTAAATTATTATTAGTAATATTAGTAATTAATTAATCATGTTAAATAATTATTAGTAATAATATTAGCAATTATTGGTGCAATGTTGGTTATTTTTTAATTAATTTATTTTTATTCAAATTAATTTATATTATTTTTTATTTTATCGTTAATATTTAATTTTTAAAAATATAAAAATTTTATTTTATCGTTAATATAATAGTATAGTATAGTATATTATATTATTTATTTAATGATTTATGAAATTATCTTATCAAATTTTTTAATCTAAATTTATATATATATTTTATTTGTAGAGAAAATGAGCAACAACTTTTTCACGATTGTCCATTATAATGGACAGATTATGGAAAATGAGGTCGGAATTATTTTTCAGTCTTAAAAACCAATAAATATAATGTTCAAAAGAGACATCACATTTGTAGAAATGAAACAGAAGATAGAAAGAAAAATTCGAGCTGTAGTTGATGGTTTGATATATAGGTTTATGATATGTCTCAACCCAGTTAGATATGTTGTTGTACCACTTGAAGAAGATGATGATATTGAAACCATGATTGGATTACATGTGTCAACCAATATAGCACTTATTTAGTTATTTGTTGATGTGTGTAACATATATGATGTTCCTGAGTCATCAAGAAATATGGCTCGAAATTCATCTGAAATGGCTTTCGATAGTGAGTTTGAGGACCCGACATACATGTGCCTAAACAGCTTTATGACACTATTGGAAAGTGGAAATGAAGTCAGAGGGATATCCGCAGCAGCAGAGTATGAGACAAGAAACATACACCATTCGGAATTAACTGTTGATATTGATGCTGAAAATCGATGGGGAGAAATTCATGATGATTCAAGCGAAGATGAAGAAATCGAAGAACCCGTTTTGGGCGACGATAATAATGTTTTCGGTGGAGGTGCAATTGACTTGGCCATTGATGAAGTTCTGACACCGTATGAAGCTACTCCTCACATGTACGAGATAGATTATGATGCGATGAGGGCACCTAAATTCCCAGACATACCACATTTACCTCCGTACCAAAAGGCTGAATCATTCAAAAATTTTGGTGAATTTTCAGTTGGGGTGCAATTCAGAGGAAAAAATGAAGCTACGCCGACGATTAAAGAGTGTTGCATCAAATGCCATGTTGATGTTCATGTTGTAGAGTCCAACCAGAAAATCCTATACGCGAAGTGTGTTAAATATGGCCCAGAGTGCAAGTGCAATATCAAAGTGTCGAAAATTCAAAGGCATGATGCTTGGGTCATCACAAGGTACAATGGTCCTCACACGTGTTTATGAAACTCCATCGAACAAGATCACCGACTATTGGACTCCGTTGTAATATGCGAATACGTGAAGGTGATGGTTGAAAAGAATCTAAGGACTCTTGTTCAGTGTTAGTTGCATCTATTCGAAGCCAATTTGGATATCAAGTAAAATGTGGCAAGGTGTGGAATGCGAAGGTGAATACAATGAAGCTGACATATGGAGATTGAGATACATCGTACAATGAGCTACCACATTTTCTACAAGCAATAAAATGATTTATCCCAGGAACCATAGTGAAGTCTCAAACCATGCCCGCATATGACGAAGAAGGTCAACTTGTGTTAGGAAAGAAAATATTTCATAGACACTTTTGGGCATTCAAGTCATGTATTGAAGGATTTCCATTTTGTAAACGTATTATCCAAGTAGATGGTACGTGGTTGTATGGTCAATATAGGCATGTACTCTTGATGGAAGTTGCGTAAGATGGTGAGCGAAATATCTTTCTAATTGCATTCTCCATTGTTGAGGGAGAGACAACAGAGGCTTGGGATTTCTTTTTGACCAATCTATGTCAATATGTTGTTTGAGAAAATGAAGTTTGCTTGATATCCAATAGAGGAACGGGTATTTTGGCGGCAATTAAACGACCAGGAAGTCATTGGATACTTTCGCATGCATATTCGACATTTTGTATCCGTCATATTGGTAAGAATAATATCGGCCATTTTCATAACGCACACATTCGTAGCGAGATAGTAAGCATGGGTAAGTTTTATTTTTAATATTTGTGCATTTTTTATGTGGTTTTTTTAATTGATGTTTAACACAATATATTATGAAACAGGATATGAACTATACCGACCAAATTTTGATAAGAGATTGGAGAATTTGAAGGTATTTTATGATGATTAGCGTGTTTAGAAGTGGGCTTCAAAAATACCGCGGGAAAAATGGTCGCATGTATACGATGAAGGTCGACGATACGGACATATGACCATAAATCTTGCTGAGGCCATTAATTCAGTACTAAAAGGTACATGTCATCTCCCAATAGCGAGTGTGGTGAAATAGACGTACTTTAGGTTGACTAAGGTTTGGTCCGATAAAGGTAAGGAAATTGAGTGTCTCATAAATAGAGGTCAAACTTGGGCTCCTACAGTGGTGGAAGCAAATGAACGATTGGCAACATTAATGGTTGTTTATAATTTCGATCGAGTTGGTCATACTTTTGTTATGTCATGCATACGCCGTAACGTCAGAGGAGAATACCAAATATTTAGAGTTGATTTATGACACAAATGTTGTGATTGTGGTCGCTTTCAGGCATGGAAATATTTGTGTGCTCATGCAGTCGCTAAATGTATGTATGTTGGTGTAAGTGCATACACTTATGTTGATGAATGCTTTCACCTACATAGGATATTAAATGTCTAAAGCTATGTGTTCAAGCATATCCTAAATGAATCATATTGGCCCAAAAAGGATCATGATGAATGGCTGCCAAATCCAATGCTTCGTAGAATTCCAAAGGGTCGACCTGAGTCCAATCGTATTCATACTAGTATGGATTTTCATGCTAGAGAGAGATGTCAACCAAAGAGATGCGAATTATGTAGGGGTGAAGGTCTTTAAAAAAACAAATGTCCTAATTTACCAAGTATATGCCTCATTAGTAATCATATTTGTATTTCTATGTATTTATATATTTGATTTTGTAATAATGAATCGATTTTTGCAAGGAAATTTATGAAATTTTTTATCTTAAATTATTAAATCTTTGAATTTAAGTTGAATTTATGTTTTATAACTAATAATTATTAAATCAAATTTATGTATTTTTAATAATATTTAAGTTCATTTTTAATTGAATTATTTATATTTTATTTATATTTTATCTTATTATTATTTATAAATATTCGAATTTATTCAATTTAAATCGAATTTATAAAATTTATGTATGGACAAAATAGCTGAAAAAATGCATGGGGATTATTTCCCCCCAAAATAATTAATAATGATTTAGTAATGATTACTAATAATAAATAATTATTAATGATTTAGATTTAATAATGATATGATTTAATAACGATTATTAATAATTATTTATTATAAATATTTAATGATTTGAATTTGATATTAATGATTTAGTAATGATTACTAATAATAAAATTATAAGATTTAATAATGATTTGATAATAATGTTTTAATAATGATTACTACTAATTTGATAATATTTTTTATTTTTTAAATACCAAACAAATTTGATAATTAATTTTTATAAATTTTAAGATTATATTCGATTCAATTTTTACTCCTTACTCAAATGAAGAACTTTTACTAAAGATTTTGAAATTTAATCGAGTAAAATACTCAATTTAAACTAAGTAGTATCGATACTGCTAAGGCTGTACCGATACCATGGAAACAGAACCTCAAAATAGTATCGATACTACTAATAATTTATTATTAATATTTAATGATTTGATATTTAATGATTTAGTAATGATATGATATAGTAATGATTACTAATAATGATTTATTATTAGTATTTAATGATTTGATACTAATGATTTAGTAATGATTATTAATAATAAATTATAATAATTACTTATAATGATTTAATAATATAATATTTAAGTTTAAATATTTTACATATTTAAGTTTATTTTAAATTGAAATTTAAGTTTTTAAGATAAGGTTAAAAAATTCTAAATACATAACTTATGTTTACAAAGTAAAATACTAGTCTAATTTAAATATTTAATTTTAAACAAATAACAATTGAGTTTATAATTTTTGTCGGGTGTTGTTAAATGATAATGTCGGGGTGGATGTCTGATGTGTTGTGGTCGTTGCGAATGCTCAGTAGTATGGTACTCGTCCTCCTCATTCATTGGAGGCATTTCAATTGGTGTTGTAAATATATTCCAACCACTATGCTATACCATTCCACCAGTTTGCTCTTTCATCCCACTTGGAAATGTTGACTGACAACTAATGGTATTTGACATCATAGATGTCATTTGGTCAAAATCATATGTCAACTCAAACATGGAGAGTAGATGAGTTCCTGAGGCTGCACAAACTCTGGTACGTATGCCGGGATAGTAAAATCATCAAATGCATGATGCATCGATCCCGCATCGTCAAACGGTTGTGGTGCGCTATTATCCACATGGGTTATTTCCGCTTCAGGTTGTTAAGATGAACTCTCAGTCCCACTCGGTAGAAAGTATTCAGATTTACCAAATTTTTTTCTTAAATTTCAAAAACTGTCGCCTTTCTACCCTTGTTGTCAAGAACGACTTTCCATTATCCCAATAATAATCAAGGTAAGCCGAAGTCTCAAAATTAAAGTCATCATCTTGAATGAGATCAAGAGTTGGCAAGAATAAAACCATATTGTTCAAAGCATTAATGTAGTTTGCATGCTTCTCAACCCAATTCACCTTTTCTTTACGGCGACCATCTAATTTGTGGAGATGGTCATGCGTCTCAACCCAATTCACATGATGGTGACCATCTAATTTGTGGAGGTGGTCATGATCCCATGGACTCTGCGAAATAGGTTGGTAGAATCCGAATTGCCTCAACACTCTATCATCAATTTGGATCTCAACAAAAGTAAAATTAATCAATGGTGTAACATATTATATATACCTCTTTTTTGCCCTTAATGTCGATCTTCAGCCGAAACTCTTTAATATTGTTGTGCACCAATCCCGTGCCTTCTATTTTATTCCTTCACCTGTATATCAATCAAAACAAAAATATGACCATTTTGTTCAATATTTGTAATCAAATAAATAATTTATAATTAATATTTTATATTAAAATAGAGAATTCATATTACCTTCCGATAAGTAGAAAGTCAACCACAGTCCGACTAATCGGTATAAAAAACGGAAGTCTATGCCAAGCCCATAATTATAGCAGCATCAGACATCCACCAATTTATGTTGTATTCTTATTATTCACGACTAATGATGCCTTGCAGATCTGACGATACAAGAACGCCAATATCACCGATCCCTAGTTATATTGCCTAATATTCACAAAATTTCTTAAAAATAAAAGATACTGAGTGTGAACTAGATTACCGGATTTATCCGGCATCAAACTTCCCCCAATCAACTGCAATATATATGCTCGTGTTGGATATATAATTTATTGTTTCCGTACTATTTCGTTGGAGCTAAAATTGATTCTTCAACCATGACAACTTCACACGCCACCCTTTACACTATGGTGTTATTGCCGTTTGCCCAAGAAATACACTGTAAAATTGTTCCACATTATTTTACTAATTGGTCATTACCACCGACATCCCATTTGTTTGGACCCCGAGTTGCATTGCCACATCTTTAAGAGTTATCGTACATTCTCCACATGAAAAATGAAATGTGTGAGTTTCTGGTCTCCAACGTTCAATCAACGCACTGATCAAACCTGTGACCAACTTGTATTCTCGCACAAATGTTACATAGTAAAATCCAACATGTTGCAAGTTTTCTTCTATCAATTAGTGTGGCTTGACCGGAATATTTAGCCGATGACGAAGGACTCATTGCTCATCCCCTGCAATTAAATAATTCAAAAAATTTATCACAATCATAAAATAATCTTTAAATATTTAATAATAATAATAATTTATTAAACAAATATTTTATTTTATTAAATAATAATAACACCATTATTCCCAAATGAGTAGAAATATGTTGATTGTCAAGTCTCAGCAGTGAATTTTGTGCAACCATTCGAATGAATTTGTAAAAAAAATAAAACAACAATATTTAAAAAATTATTTAATATAATCTAATGTTAACTGACTAATTTACACTACACAAGAACAAAAAATAACAAATTATAACTTAAACTAATAAACTATTTTTTTATTATAATCAAACTTAACTTAAACTAACAAACTAAAAAACTAATTAGCTAATTTTTTTTATATAATATAACTTCAACAAACAAACAAACTAATATAAATTAAACGACATATAATAAAAATATTAATGTAACTTAAACTATAACTATTTTTTTAATAAAATAACGACATATAATAAATTAAATATAATTCAACAAACAAATTTAATATAATTCTTCAACATTAATCTAACTTAAACTAACAAACTAATTAAATAATTTTTTTTATATAATATAAATAGCCCTAAATTATACCCTAACTAACTAACTAACTAACAAACTAATAATTTAAACTAATTTAAAAATTACAAAATTACCTTACGATCCCTTCTTCTTCCTCCTTTCTTCTCCCTTTCTTTCTTCTCCCTTTTTTTCTGCTTACAACCTAACTCCCCGCTCAATATATAACAACCCGGGCGTTGAAGCCAATAATTCATGCAACAATTATTGCTGCCCTACCCGTGAATGCTGCAATAATACAGCTATTATAGCTACGTACAAGGGCCGTTGCTGCGGGAGCAGACTATACAGAACCTTGGTCGTCCGGATTACATGTCAACCTGCTTGGTCACTCGGACGGCACGACAACCTCCATGGTCACTTAAATTGCTTGGCGACCTACGTGCGTGAAGAATTGCAATAGCAACAACGCAACACAGGTCGCTCGAACGGTTTGGTGACCTCCTTGGTCGCCCGAAGCACCTGGCGACCAACGTTCGAACTGTAGCAATCACCCCATTTCAGCAAACAAGTCCTCGACAACATTATCTCACGATTTTTTTTCAATGCATTATCTCACGAATTTTGCCATAATTTACTTATAAATTTATAAATTATCTACCAATAATGATTATAATAAGATTCGAACATAACATTACATGTTCAAATTCTAAAATTTCAATCACTTATACCAATACTCATTAGTAAAATTAAAAAATATATTATAAACAAGTTATAATAACACAATTCTCTCCTTATTTTTATATCTCTTATTTTTTTCTATTGTTTTTTTCTTTTTTATTTAAAAATATCTGGATAATCAGATGAAAAAGTGAAATGGATAAAGGTATCAATTGGAAGGTATACAAAATAATTTATTTGCACGGCAATAGCCATAGACGAAGCTTAGTAGAGTTCAGTGTTCTTGTGTCAGCTCTTTTATTATGTAATAATATGAAATATATGTATATTTATAATATTGTTACTGAAACAAAAACAGAGTCCCGCACTCCAATCCCACAATTTGACACATCTTTACCTTGTTATGGAGTTGCAATGGTCATCTCGGTGATTATCACGAAATCACTATTTGTCAACCTTGTTATGGAGTTACGACGATCGTCGCGGTGATTATTGTGAAACCACAATTTTAGGTTTGTTCGTCACGGTTTAAAGTTCATCGAATATTGTCACTTGACTATTCATCGGATAGTTAATCGTCGATGAAGATGAGATCAAATAGAGAATCGATATACAATAACGACGCCGACAAACGGCAACAAGCGTAGATATGAAAATTAAGATTTCCAAATTCAAAATGACGTTAACTTCAAAATTAACACTTTTTTCGTACTATATTTTCAATCCCTTATTTACCCATACCAAATCCCAGAAAGGCCCCTACCAAAGAAAAACCCAATCAGCTCTTCTGCTAGAAAATTAGTTGATTTGAACCTGAAAAACATCATTCTTCTCCTCCTTGATCTTAGGAACCACCACTTTGAGTACACCGTTCTTCATCTCCGCCTTAATCTGATCGGTCTTGTAAACTTTGTCAGGCAAATGGATCCTGCTGGTGTACCTACCGTCAGTTTCCTCCTTGTCAGATTCTTTGGCCTCGCCTTTGATAACCAGAGTGTTCTGTTCCACGGAAACTTTGACATCCTCTTTCCCCAGCCCCGGCATGTCAATCCTTAGGTTCAAGGCGTCCTCCGTTTCTTTGGCGTCCCAGCTCCGGCGGAGACCCCCTCCCATTCCACGTGAAGCAGAGACGATTGGGTTCTCCATCATCATGTTCAGAACTTGGCTCAGGCTCCTCGTTGGGGAGAACGGATCAAACACATCTGCATATAAAAAATGGATTGCCCAAATCAGCATCAAATTTAGTTATATAGAAGAACAAAAACAAAAGGACACGAAATGGAAAACAGAATGGTAGACGACTACCTGAGAAGAAGCCATCACCGAGGCGAGAAAGTGAACGAACGCGGCGGCGATCGTCGCTGAAGTCACTCTCGTGACCGTCGTCGTCGTCGAACTCACGGATGGCGTTGGTTTTGAAGAGCCTGGAGGTGGACGGAGCAACGGCCATTGGGCGGACCACGCACAAGGAGCTAGGAAGGATGTTCGATGAAACGAGTCTCCTCAGAGCTAGAGAAGCCATTGATATTTGATTTGTAAGTAAAAAATTAGCAGAATCGCTTGTGAGAGCAGATGGATAATTAGGAGCCAGTAATTACTTGAAGAGTTTGCCTGCTGGAGGAGGGGTAGATAGTGGGTCTTTTATACAATGGAAGGAGGAAGATGCTAGAGAGATTTCTAGAAGGATTACGCAGGTATTAGATGATTCTCGAAGCACTCGTCACATATAATGGCTAGAGTTATGTTTGTCCTCCAAGAAAACGTAAATAAAAGTTATTGGGCTTAGGCCTATATGCAATTTGTTTTTTTCATTTCTTCTAATGGTTTCTAGAAAAATCGCGAGGTCCCTCATCTTCCTAGTGTCATTATTTAAGCTAAGAATTATCAAAAAATCATGAAACTAATATTTTAAGTTTAATTGTGTCACTATTTCAAAATTATATCAAAATATTAATAAAAGGCTTAGGCATGAGACTTCAATAAAAGGTTTATATGTTTAACTACTAAACTAAATTATTTAATTATTTTTTTCTTGAAGTGGGATTAAAATTAAATACAGAAATAAATTAATTTTTAAATGAATTAGAAAATAACTTTAATCTAAATTTCTATTTTCACCAGAATTTAAAGTAATTATTAATTTGATTAAAAATGTAATAATTATATATGGGTTGATGGTCACCCCTACGTGGGCTAATGTGTTCGGGCTTATGTTTGAGGTTTGGGGTGCAGTTGATTCTTCTGGCAAACGACTATCGGTGCGCCAACAAAATTTAGTTAAATTTTGAAAGAGAACGTTCTGAACGTCATCATAAGGCCCACGGTCCACAGCTCACAGCTGACGGCCCTGTTAATACCGAAAGGCAACTCAACTCCACTCCCCTATCGTCATTTTGCACCATTAGCAACAGCAACGAATACTTGCTCCGGAAAACCAACAAAATCGTCCTCTGTGCTGACCTGTTGGCCTTAGAGGCCTGAAGAAAAGATACAATGATGCTAGATCTTGGTCCTTTTTCAGAGGAGAAATTCGATCCGAAGAAATGGATAAACACGGCGTGCAAGACACGGCAACCTCAGGATTCCCTCGACAAGCACATGGTGGATCTCGAAATGAAGCTCCAAATGGTATCCGAAGAGATCGCCGCTTCGCTCGAGGAGCAAAGTTCTTCCGCTCTCCTCCGTGTCCCTCGCGCTACCCGTGATGTTCTCCGTCTTCAAGACGATGCCGTTTCTCTCCGCAATTCTGTTGCCGGCATCCTCGACAAGCTCAAGAAGGTATGATACTTGCCTTTCAGATCTTATATCGTTTCAATCTTGCTGGAGTACTTCTCTGGAAACTCGAAAGATTCCTTGTTCATCGGAGGTCAAAATGATATGATTTGTTTATGTTTGAGCTGAACCGAAATTCAATTCCCCCTACTTAAAGATTTAAGATAAAATGTTAATCTTACGCTTAAATTCGTCATATTCTAGTGCCATGGAATAGTATTTGTTTATATTTGAGCTGAATTGAGATTCGATTCCTTTTATATTCTGAATTAAGCTAAAAAGTTAACCGTTAGAGTAATCTTACGCTTATATTTTGTTAAGTTTTAATGCCATGAAATAAGATTGGATTTGATGTAGGTTTTATAATTAATTTATGGATCTGAAAATGAATTTACTTTCTACCTTGATCTCGCAACTTACTGGCTCGTATTTGCAGGCAGAGGGATCATCGGCAGAGTCTATATCTGCTCTTGCTAAAGTTGACACTGTCAAGCAGCGAATGGAAGCTGCATACGAGACACTGCAAGTGAGGATCATTGATTATTTCGTCCTGACCTTTCTCATATTCAACTTTTGAAGTTCGAGTTAGTGTTGCTGAATATTTGTTTGATTGTATCTGCAAAAACAGGATGCCGCTGGATTAACACAACTTAGTGCAACAGTAGAGGATGTGTTTGCCTCCGGGGATCTTCCACGTGCTGCAGAAACCTTGGCTAACATGAGACATTGCTTATCTGCTGTTGGGGAGGTAGCTGTATTTTACAGCTCTTTTTTTATGTTATCTGATTTTTCATCAATAAAAGTTGGTTTCAAGATTTAATTGCTGCACTTAAACCTGTTCTTAGGTGGCCGAGTTTGCGAATATTAGGAAGCAACTTGAGGTCTTAGAGGACAGGTTGGACACAATGGTGCAGCCTCGTCTCACAGATGCATTATCCAATCGCAAGGTTACTATATTTTGTATGTGACATTTGTTGCTTTTTTACTTGCAATTCCCTTGTCCTGTTTTACTAATTGATTGCTCTATACATTTTTACTTATTATTCTATACAGGTTGATGTTGCTCAAGATTTGCGGGGAATACTTATCCGAATTGGTAGATTCAGGTCTCTGGAGTTGCACTATACCAAAGTTCACCTAAAGCCCATAAAGCAGCTCTGGGATTATTTTGACTCTAAAAAGAGAGTTAGTAAGCTTGCTAATGAGAAGAGCGAAGCTGAAAGGCTGGCAAGTAATAATGACTCACAGTCAAGTTCTCTGGCTGTTTCTTTCTCAAGTTGGCTTCCTACTTTCTATGACGAGTTGCTACTCTACCTTGAACAAGAATGGAAGTGGTATTTATTATTGACATTTCAATGCTCCACAGTTAAATTCTCAGAGTCTTTTTCCCATGCATTCTTATTTTATTTTCTGGTAAATTTTAATTGCTTTAGATTCTATGTTACCCTAAAATTTGCTGCAAAAAGAGTTCCTTACTTTGGAATTTATGTTACTTGCTTTCCATATATATATATTTATGCATCTTGTTTTTTGTTTTCAAAGTTGCTTGTTCAACATTCATGAATTGAAGGTTTTTGAAGGAACCAAGCATCAACTAAATTTATCACATTTGTCAGTCTTAATGGAAAATCGGAAAATATTACCGGATGTTTGGGAAATCTCTCTTCCAGAAAATAAATTTGGAATATGAAGATCCACTAAACTCTTCTTCACAGGTGTATGTTTGCTTTTCCTGATGATTATAAGACTCTTGTTCCAAAGCTTCTCACAGAAACCATGGCTGCTGTGGGGTCAAGTTTTGTTTCCCGGATCAACCTTGCTACTGGAGAGGTTGTTCTTGAAACAAAAGCACTTTCTAAGGGTAAAAGTTAACTTTCATGATATTCCTCAAGTTATTATTTGCATTGGTTGATCGATCTACCCGATCTTAGCTGGATAGCTCAGGATTACTTTTTTCCTCACACTCTTTGTTAATGACTTCAGGTATATTAGACATTTTATCTGGAGATCTGCAAAAAGGTAGTAAGATTCAGACTAAGCATCTAGAAGCTCTGATTGATTTACACAATATGACTGTCATCTTTGCAAGAAATATCCAGCATTTATTTTCAGAATCTGATCTCCAAGTTTTAATGGACACACTGAAGGCAGTGTACTTTCCATATGAATCATTTAAACAGAGGTAAGATATTACAAAGATAACAAAATGCAATGCCCATCTTTTGTGTTTTCCTATTTCTACATCTTGGGGCACAAAGTCTACCTCGATATACCTCTCAAACACTTCATTATAATGTATAGGATCTGTACTCAGCTTGTTTATAGGAAACCGACAAATTGTACTGTCTATGTTTCATAACTGTTCTTTTGATTTCTCCCCATTCAAGTTCCATTCGGGTTTAATTTTTTTCCTTTTAAGCAGGGGAGGATGTGGGCAAACCTTTTTACCATGTCTATTATTTCCAATTATTGCAATTTTATCTCTTTTGTATTATAGAGCTTATTTTGGTGTTATCTGTTTTTTAATGAGTTTTGGCTATGTTACAGGTATGGACACATGGAGCGAGCTATCCTCGCCTCTGAGATCGCTGGGGTGGATCTAAGGGGAGCTGTCACACGTGGTGTGGGAGCCCAGGGTATTGAACTTAGCGAGACAGTTCGAAGAATGGAAGAATCTATTCCTCAAGTTATATTACTTCTTGAGGCAGCTGTGGAGAGGTGCCTCAGCTTTACTGGCGGTTCAGAGGCTGATGAGTTGATTCTTGCACTTGATGACATAATGTTACAGTACATTTCTACCCTTCAAGACACCCTCAAATCACTTAGAGCTGTCTGCGGAGTGGACCGCAAGGACTTTGGCTTGGACAAGAAGGAAGGGGCTCAAAATTCAAGAAAAGCTGATTTGATCTCTAATGAAGAGGAGTGGTCAATTGTTCAAGGGGCCTTGCAGATACTCACAGTTGCAGACTGTCTAACAAGCAGATCGTCTGTCTTTGAAGCGTCATTGAGGGCAACTCTGGCTAGATTGAGAACAAGTTTGTCATTTTCAGCATTTGGTTTGAGTTTGGATCAAAACCAGCTGCCTGTCGCAAATGATGATGGAAATGGGGAGCCACCATTGGGTGAAAGAGCTGCCTTGGATGTTGCAGCGGTGCGGCTTGTTAATGTTCCCGAGAAGTCCCGGAAACTATTTAACCTTTTAGATCAGGTAATTGAAAATAAAATATATTCCTCCTTTTTTGTTCGCATATATTATGTGGCATTCAGCCAACAAAAGCTAAAAAGATGCGAGAGGTTAATTTGAAATCCACTTTGTTTACATTAATGTTGCCTAAATTGTCTTATGTTGTGTTCGTTCTGGTGTTAGTAGTCCATTTGACACACTGCATAATGAGAATGATAATTTGTTGTTGTGCAGTCTAAAGATCCTCGATTTCATGCACTTCCGCTTGCATCCCAAAGGGTAGCTGCATTCGCCGAAGCAGTGAATGAGCTGGTGTACGACGTCCTCATATCGAAAGTACGACAACGTCTCAGTGATGTGTCCCGTATGCCGATCTGGTCTGCAGCAGAGGAACAAAGTGCTTTCCCTCTACCAACCTTCAGTGCGTACCCTCAGTCCTATGTGACAAGTGTGGGGGAATATCTTCTCACTTTGCCTCAACAATTGGAACCACTTGCTGAGGGTATTTCTAACAGTGACGCCAACAATGATGAAGCTCAGTTCTTTGCAACAGAATGGATGTTCAAGGTAGCATTCTATCCCATTTTAACTGTTGACCATAAAAAGATGAAAAGATATATATATATATATATATATATTTTAATTTTGTGTAATTAACATTACTATGGCGGTGTTTTTTTGGGAAGGTTGCTGAAGGGGCCACCGCCTTGTACATGGAGCAGCTGCGTGGGATCCAATATATAACAGATCGTGGAGCACAGCAGCTGTCGGTTGATATTGAGTACTTGAGTAATGTGCTGTCTGCTCTCTCAGTGCCAATTCCTCCGGTTCTTGCAACCTTTCAGACCTGCCTTGGGACGCCTAGAGATCAGTTAAAAGACCTGTTAAAGGCCGACAATGGGAATCAACTTGATCTTCCCACTGCCAACCTTGTGTGTAAAATTCGGCGTCTGAATTTGGATTAGTAAATTTTGTGATTTCAAAATAACTCGGATCAACGTGACCATATTGCTTGCATTCCTCAAATTTTACTTCGATGTAGGGATAAATAAGAGACTCAAGTACCTCCACAGATGCATGATATAAATTTAGTCCAAACAAGATAAAAGGAGTTAAACAGTAATATTTCGGCGTCTGAATTTGGATTAGTAAATTTTGTGATTTCAAAATAACTCGGATCACGTGACCATATTGCTTGCATTCCTCAAATTTTACTTCGATGTAGGGATAAATAAGAGACTCAAGTACCTCCACAGATGCATGATATAAATTTAGTCCAAACAAGATAAAAGGAGTTAAACAGTAATATTGTTAGACCTACCTCAACCCTTTTCCTCTCTAGTAATTTCGATGAAAGGGAGTTGGTATGGTCCCAACAAGCTGTGAGTTACCAAGAATAATGTTTCATCCTTGATGACAAAATTCAGCACTATTTCAAAGCACACGTTTGTAAACTAGAAATAAAATAAGAGGTCTACCTCATTGGCTTTCAAAGCCAAAACATCTATTGTACAGAATGGCACTAATTAAGCCGAACCGGACTTCTTGAGGACCTCCTGTGACTATGTCTACCGGGGGAACGGGATCTGCTGCGGTTATGGTGCCTAACCCTGCCTCCATCTCTACCATTCTTGTACCTCCATTTCCTCTCTCCATCCCTACTGCCTCTCCCATTCCGCTCTCGAGACCTTTCACGGTCTAAGTCACGTTCTCGGTATCTGTCCGAATCCTTGTTCGGATCACGATATTTGTCACTATCACCTGAATGACTTCTGCTCCTCCTACTGTCGTATTCCTTCTCCCTCTGATTTCTCCGTTATTCAACTTCTTTTTCTCTAGCTAATATTTCCTCTTCTCTCGCTCTCTCCTTTGCTTCCTGAAAAGTTTGTTCATGTTCTTCATTCACAACAAAAGGTTAAATATGCTGACCCACAAATTATTCTACCAAGAAACATTTACCTTTAACTCAGAGATGAAATCCCTAACCATTCCATAACCAATATGTTGCTTTCCTGTAACATGGGACTGAGTCCTCACAGCAGCATTATTAGCTACTAGAAAAGATCCACAAACCTCACATAGGGCCATTTTCTTCTCCCGTGCAAGCATCAATACTTTGTCATTTTGAGGTTGCTGAGTCAAGACTGTCTTCTCAGCATTAAGTGCCTCCACCTAAACAAATATCACAGAAGGTCAAGCTTCAAACCCTGAACTATCTATTGTGATTTGTGATATATTTAAAAACCAGAAGTTAAATTGAAAAATAAAATTATTAAAGAGGCAATCGAGCAGAAACATACTTTCCAAGGTGGTCAAATGCTGTCCGTCTAGAATATGGCAACACTGAGTGAATGATATCTCACTACTTGTGGATCAATCACTAAATGATAAAGGAAAACCTTAACAGCACCTTTCTCATAAGTGCCTCAGCTTCATCCACCTTTCCAGCTTCACCACGGCTCTCCACTTGCTCCAGCATATTTTTTATTTTTTCCTCTAAGACAGATAGCTGTTCAGACTTTTCTGCAGATAGTGGAGCAGTCGGTGCTGGTTCCACCTCTTGAGCAAGGCGTTCTCGTCCATGCCTAACTCTTCTGTCAAGGTCCATCACCTAGACAGTGTAGGCATGTGAAAATTACAATTGTTGTCACTAGAAATCAAGAGGGATATTAAGTTAAAAAGTGAGGGCATTGGAACCCACTCAAACATCTTGAAGATGCTGAAAATTTGCTTTTAAGACAAAAGGCTAAGGTCCAATGGTTAAAAAATGGTGACAAATGTACCAAATTCTTTCACTCAGCAGTAGCTCTTAAGCACAAAAGAGAAACCATTCGTATCGTGATTGATGATCAAGGCAACAGACTGGAAACTTTTGATTCAATGTCTTCAGAGGTTTCTAACTACTTTTGCAACTTAATTGGTTCTGCTGACCCTGATGTGGTTATTACATATCCTAATCTTCTGCAAAACCTACTGAATTTTTCCTTGACTGAGGATAAATCAAATGAACTTGTGAAAGATATCTCTGAGGATGAAATCAAGATAGCTTTCTTCAGCCAAGGTAATGATAAAGCTCCTGGCCCTGATGGCTACACTCCTTTCTTCTTCAAACAATGCTGGTCCATCATTGATAATGATTTTATTGCTGCCATTAAACATTTCTTTCAAGATATGTTCCTTTTTCCAGCTTTTAATGCCACCTCTATAGCGCTTGTGCCTAAGATCCCTAATCCTTGCAAAGTTAAGGACTTCAGACCTATCTTGTGTTGCTCAGTTGTCTATAAAGCAATTTCTAAAATTCTGGTGAGTAGACTAACAAACATTATTCCTGATCTGGTTACCCTCAACCAAACTACATTCATTAAAGGTAGGAATATTATTGATAATACTCTACTTGCACAAGAACTTGTTAGGGGCTATAGTAGGAAGAAAATTTCTCCTAGATGCTCTCTGAAAGTTGATCTTCATAAAGCTTTTGATACACTTAATTGGGACTTCATTTCTGCTGTTCTTAAAGCCATTGGATTGCCTTCAACCTTTATCACTTGGATTGAAATATGTTTCTCTACTACTAGATACTCGGTTTCGTTTAATGGGAGTTTAATTGGATTCTTTAAAGGGGCGAAAGGAATTAGGCAAGGAGATCCTCTTTCTCCTTTACTATTTGTTCCTTCAATGAATGTACTCTCCAAGCTCCTAAACATAGCAGCTACTAGAGGAATCTTTGGGTTCCATCCTAAATGCAAAAAATTAGGTCTTACTCATCTTTCATTTGCTGATGACATTCTGATTTTCTGCAAGGGATCTACTGAATCTGTTATTGGGGTTAATAGCATTTTAGACCATTTCTACAAAATGTCAGGACTTAAACTCAACGCTTCTAAATGTGAGTTATTTGCTGCTGGTATGACTGCCTCAAAACTGGAAGAAATAAATATGCTTACGGGTTTTAAAATCAGCAGCCTTCCTGTTAGATACTTGGGCATTCCCCTCATAACCAGAAAAATTTCTGAAAAAGACTGCTTGCCTCTCATTGAAAAAATCAAAGCAAGATTGTATCATTGGTCTTCTCAATCTCTTACTTACGCTGGCAGGCTGGAACTAATTAAAACCGTATTATCTAGCCTTACCAATTTTTGGTGTAGGCAAATTTTCTTGTCTCAATCCGTTCTTAAAAAAGTTGAACAAATATGTTCATGGTTTTTCTGGAAAGGAGCTGATCAAAAAGCTTCTGGAGCTAGAGTAAGTTGGCATAACATTTGTTTCCTGAAATCTGAGGGAGACATAAAAACTTGGAACAAAGCTTGCATGCTCCTACTCATTAAAAATATCCTAGCAGGTGAAGGTTCACTTTGGGTGGCATGGATTAAATGCTATGTCCTCAAAGTGTCCTCAAAGATACGGACCTATGGACTGTTAACATCCGTCCATCTCTAAGCTGGAGTGTTAGGAAACTCCTTAAACTGCGATCGGAGGCTTACCCCATTTTGACTAATGGTGCTGTGACAGTGAGATCTATTTGGGATTCTATTCGTGAAAAAAGACCTCTTGTTTCCTGGCAGAAGATTATTTGGTTCCCACTACATATTCCTAAGCATAGTTTAATCTCTTGGATGGCTATGCTTGATAGACTTCCTACAAAGGAAAGACTTCACCGTATGGGACTGATTAACGACTGCAAATGTGTTTTTTGTGACAAACATACTGAAACAAGGGACCACCTATTCCTTCAATGTTCTATGGCAGATTTCATCTGGAAATCTGTTTTCTCTATTTCTGGCATTCAATTTTTTCCAAGTACATGGAATTCTTTTTGTGCATGGGCAACTTCTTCTTGGAAAGGAAAATCTCTGCTCACTTCAATTTTGAAGATAGCTCTCAACGCTACTATCTATTTTCTGTGGGATGAAAGAAACAAGAGACTGTTTTAAAGCCGGTCTAAGAATGCTCAAGAGCTGTTTCAAACCATAAGGGATATAGTCAGGCTACACTTAAGGAATAGGAACTTTAATAGAAATGACAATGTTAATATTACTCTTGTAAGGAATTGGGATATATGTGATCTTTGATTTTCTTTGTAAGTAGGTTGCTCCCTGTATTCCAGTATTTCAGTTACTGATTTTGTATTCTGTTACTGTAGCAATTTGCTATTTGGGTAATAAAATTTTAAATTATCCAAAAAACATTTCTCACAAAATTTAGTCAGTTCAGTTTCAAATTTCGACACATAAGCATTGTGTCTGACACTTCTCAACTATTAAAAGTTACAAAATAATCATTCAACTATTCATATATTCTAAACTCAACATTTTTCTTTAAAAATTTGACGATGGTTAGAGTTGGACGATAACATGTTGATTAAGATATGATAGTCATTTGAGATTTTAGATAAAACTTTATCATATTCCAGTTAGCATGTTAACGTTTAACTTAAATGACCATAAATTTTTTAACGAAAAATGACGAATTTAGATAATATGAATAGTTAGTTGATCATTTTTGTAACTTTTAATAGTTAAAAACCTCAAAAAAATAAGAACCTATAGTTGATGAATCATTTTATAATTTTTTATATTCTAGAGACTTAACAAAACAACGCTATCATTTGTATACTTTACCTTATAGTTATACGTTAATTTATTGATCGTGATATGATAATAAATAATATCATAATTTCAAACTATTGTAAGATAAAATTTTATCGTATCCTAATAATATATAATGTCAAGTGATATGTTGTTTTTGGTGCAACAGTTGCCTTTGCATGCTTACGGTGGAACGAACCCAAAGTTCCGGCCAACAATGACGTGAAGAGTTTGTTTCTGAGCAAAGAGAAATAGCAGGTCGTCTCTTGCAACTTAAGAAGCATGATCTGTGTATGGATGATGAAGGCAAAATTCATCAAGAAGCTAAAGTCAACAAAAGTCAGACCTCAACTTTGAGCAATCTATCAATCTCTGCAACTCAAGATCAATGTTAACAAAAACCCAATAGATATACAACGGCCTTCTTCTTCTTCTTCTTCTTCTTCATGTTTAAGATGGCATTACAAACAAATCCCCATGCACAGTGACAAAAGCAAGCAGAATCTGTGCCTACAAAATTTTTCTACTTTTTTTTTCCTAACCTGGAATTCCCAAGTTTTACTTCGACATCCTATGAGCAAGTGTTTATAAGGGCCGGGAAGAAAACACGTGGTTTATTGTTTTAATTTTTTAATTATCAAGTCAAATTTGTGTTACTGATTTAACGAGAGCTAATGATTGAGGGATTGAAATCGTACGGAAGATAAAAATCGATTTTTTTGAACTGATGACTAAAATTGAACAGATATAAAAACATAAGGGACTATTTTTGAGTTTACTCTAAAGTTTATGGATCAATTTAGAATATAAAAAATAGTTTGGGGCGTTTGGAGAATTAACTTATAAGTCTTTTTTTCATCAATATCATGATCTTTTTATACCTCCATTCCCATTTGGTTTGTGTGTGAAAGTGTAAAGCCTCCACGAGACAATAACAGACGCTAATGGCGCTCAAAGCCCTTTCCACATTTCTCTCCCCTCTCTTTCTTCCAAAGCACCACTCTCTCTCTATCTTCAACCCTACACCCCTCAATATTTACCGGCAACCCACTCCCGTTTCCTGCAAATCCATTCACTCGCACTCCCCAACCCAATTTCCACCCTCCGATACGAATTTACTGTCTTCCGATCCCGAAGGTACCGGTGCAGCTGCGCCAACCCGGGGAGACCGGTTTCTCGAAAGGCAACAGGCTGAAGAGGCGGCTAAGCTTGTCATAAAGGAGAGTAAGAAGAAGAAGAAGAAGGTTCTGAAGGTTAATACGAAAACCGCCTGTTGCTATGGTTGCGGAGCTCCATTGCAGACTTTGGAGCTGGATGCTCCGGGTTATGTGGATAAGGATACCTATGAATTGGTATTAAACTTTCAACTTTGACATTTTTAAAAAAATAGAGATTTATTTTGAATGATCAAATGCTTTTGATTTTAGTTTAAATGAAACAATTATGTTTGAATGGCCATTACATTATAATATGCTATTCTCTATTAGCAAAGTTGTAGGGAACAAAAAGCAAGTAGTTGTTGGGAAATTGATTGAACATATATTATTTTTTGCTTGAATAAATTGAAGTTTTTGGTCAAATTAGGTTGCTAATTTAATACTGGCTTGTATGATGGCAGAAGAAGAAACATCACCAGCTAAGAACGATTCTTTGTGGGAGATGTAGGCTTTTATCTCATGGGCATATGATAACTGCTGTTGGTGGGAATGGAGGTTATTCTGGGGGCAAGCAGTTTGTTTCGGCTGATGAGCTTCGAGAAAAGCTCTCTCACTTGCGACACGAGAAGGCTTTGATTGTTAAATTGGTGGGTGTCTCTAGTTTAACTTCCTAATAAAATTAATTAATTGTTTTGAGAAATTCTCGAATTTATCTGTGAATTTGGGTGACAAGTTCAGTGTGGTAAACGAGTATGCTAAATGTACATAACTTGTCATTTTGCTAGTAGTGAAGAACCACATTTCTATCAACTTATAATCAAGAGAAGCAGAATAAAATGCTTATGACAATAATGAATGTCTAGTAGATCAACTTACTGTTACAGACTATGTTCTAGCAAGTGATTATTACATATTTTCTGTTTTCTCGAAGCAATACTTTCTTTCTCAAGGATTTAATTATATTCTGATCTTATTTTTGAATTCAAAGTTTCACAAAGTGGCCAGGATGTTTCCTGACCTTTTCTTACCAATTGCTTTTAGGTTGATATTGTGGACTTTAACGGCAGCTTCCTATCCCATGTGCGTGATCTTGCTGGTGCAAATCCTATAATACTAGTTGTGACTAAGGTTATCTACACTTTTGACTTTGGGCTATCATCCAATCAATAATTTTATGACATATAGTCTGCAAAAATGCTGATTATAATGTGTTTGTTTTTCTCTGTTAGGTTGATCTCCTTCCAAAAGGGACAGATTTTAATTGTGTGGGTGATTGGGTTGTGGAGGCCACTACAAAGAAGAAGCTTAAGTAAGAATTGATTTCACTGGAATTATTCGTATGAATGATGTTGGATCTATTTCATTTAACGTTTGAGGAAGATTTTACTCCCTTCAGTGTTTGTTTCGTATAATTACACTTGGAAGCTTGGTTTATCGTGTTTCTGATCCAATCAATGTGCTCTGTTTCACAGTGTCTTGAGTGTGCATCTTACTAGCTCGAAGTCTTTTGTAGGGATAGTTGGAGTTGCATCAGAAATCCAAAAGGAGAAGAAGGTTTGTACTTGTCATTACATCCTTACATTTCTCATCAATAATAGTTGAAATATGTTGTGCTTCATATTAGTGCTTGAGAAAACATGTCCATTGAAGCATCCTGAACCAAATATGAAATAAATATGGCCATATACCTTTGATAAAGTCCTGATGTTTTCTGCTATGCATTAAATGTTCCATTTTATCTAAACTGGTTATCATAGAAATATGCTTAGCCTTTTATAATCTGGTTATTTATCCCCCTTAGCTTAATTTCTTTACTTTGACTTTTCTGATGCAGGGACGGGACGTATACATTCTGGTTAGTACGTCCTGAATTGGAAGCTTATTGTAGATTTACAGAGTGGAGTTCACAATATTACTTTATTTTGCTTACCTTATTGGAATCCTTTCTGCTTTTATGTCCTCTCATCCAACATATTCTTCTCATTGCTGGTTTCTTTATAGCATTGATTATAAATGCAAAATGGGTTCCGAACTCCATTTAGCTGTTATGTGTGTACACTGCTGCTAGTACATGTATGTCCAGGGAAACGTGAAGTAATATCTTTTCTTTTCATGTGTCTGGCCAAAAGTCCTTTATCTTCTTTAATCAAAATGTTAGTTGTTCTTAAGTTTTCATTTGTTATGAATTTAAATTGTTTCATATCAGTGGTTATATATTTTCATTTGATAATTCTTACAGGGATCAGCTAATGTTGGAAAATCTGCATTTATAAGCGCCTTACTGAGTAAGTATCATGAATTATTATGCGAATTCATATCAGTCCCTCTTTTCCTCATTCTTTTTTTTTTTTTATAAATGAAATGATCTATCAAATTTTATATAATAATGGTGTGCTAAAATGTCTTACCACTTGGCCCATTAAACATAAGAGATGATGGCACAAAGGGATCCAGCAGCTGCAGCAGCACAAAAGTACAAACCGATACAATCTGCTGTTCCTGGAACTACTTTGGGTCCAATCCAGATTGATGCTTTCCTTGGAGGAGGGGTATGCATTATCGGTTCATTGCCTGAACTTCATCCTACCTCCCTGACATGATGTTTCCTTTTTTTTCCCCAAGAATCCTTTGGAGCTTTTTGTTTGTCACCTGATTAGTTCTAAACCAGATAAAATTAGTTTTAGCAGTACTTGGCTATTAATTCTTTCATAATACCAACCAGTCTTTTGTGGTAACGTCTTCCTGCAGAAATTGTATGATACACCGGGGGTTCATCTTCACCATAGGCAAGCTGCAGTAGTTCACTCAGAAGATTTACCTATCCTTGCTCCTCAGAGTCGGCTTAGAGGCCAATTATTCCCTGTACGTTTCATTGAAAGATCCTTGAAGGACTGTTAAATTCTATATATGCTTTCTTCTTACTATGTTCCCAGGGGTTGCCAGGTTGCTTCCAAAAATGGGATGGCAGGGATATCCGGTACCAATGGCTTAAATGGATTCTCAATACTTTGGGGTGGCCTTGTTAGAATTGATATCTTGAAGGTCCTGAATTTTTAGTTTCATGTATTCAGTTATGAGCCTGGTTGTCATTGATGGTGCAGTGTCTTCTGAATCTGTTCATTCTTGATGCTTTTAGGTTCTCCCGGAGACATGTTTGACCTTTTATGGTCCAAAGCGGTTGCCAATTCATGCTGTGCCTACTGATGAAGCAGATGAATTTTATAAGGTAATTCTGAAATTACATAATAATCTTGAGTTGTGCTTACTGTTTTCCCGTGGTATATTATTGTTGTTGGATGAATTATGTAATTGCCACAGAAAGAGCTTGGAGTTCTGTTGACACCACCAACTGGAAAGGATAGAGCAGCTGAATGGAGAGGACTGGAGACAGTGCAGCAATTGCAAATAAACTTTGAGGATGCAGAAAGGTGCAATTCTAGATTATATTTCTTAGTGATATTGCTGTAGTTGTATTGAATTCAGCTACTGTTAGAAGATTTTAGTTTATAGTCATGCATATGAGGAAAATTATGGATTTTCAGCTCTTTTCAGAATTCTTGTTATGGTTAACTTGCGGAAAATAAAGGCTATTCGTGTTTCTTAATTCGAAATCTGTCTAAATTTGTTGTTTGGACAGACCTGCTTGTGATGTGGCTATTTCAGGACTGGGTTGGATTACCGTTGAACCGAAACACAAGTCTCTTGGAGTATCTGAAAGTAATTTTGCAGAAACAATCAAAGAATTGCAATTTGCAGTCCATGTACCCAAGCCAGTTGAAATTTTTGTTAGGCCTTCGATACCCGTTGGTAAGTCCGGAACAGAATGGTACCAGTACCGAGAGTTAACAGAAAAGGAAGAAGAAATAAGACCAAAGTGGTATTTCTAAGGGCTTTTTTTTTTTTTTTAATTTTCTTTGTACTGTATGTGTTTAGTTGGGATGATATTGGCTGTAAAGCTGAGAAATATTCATGCTGTATACACAATGAAACTGAGAATACGAAGCGGGAGCTTGTTTGTTCCAGAATTTTCGAATGTAGAAACTTTGACAACTTATATCGCCATTTACTGTTGATAAAAGTAGAATATTTACCTGTTTCTTTTTTAGAAATGCCGATCGGGTTGGATTGGGAATGTGAAAGTAGTCGGTTTGCCGTCTCGATACAAGTCAAGTTGTACCGGTCTTATACTACAAAAGATGTACGGTTAAGAAACCTAACAGATCATTTGGTAAATCGAGTACAATAAATCTTAGTGTGAGTCGGAATTCAGAAAGGATGAATGGTTGATTCGTCCGTCCGCCTATGGTCTAATATCCAAAAAGATAAAAGATATGAATAAGGTGATTTAAGCAAACCAGAATTTGAGACACAATACGTACAAAAATAGTACTTTAAAAAAGAAATACTTACGCTAAAGATTATATTTTGAATATTTTAAATCAAATTATTATAATTCAAATGGTAAAAAAGCTGGTATATTTCGAATACCAGATGCTGATTTTCACTTATTTAAAAATATTTCTAAAGTAATATTTATGATACTGTAAAGTAAACATATTGGTCTTTTCTTAATATATTGGTTTTGAGTTAACTCATGATACCAACTCAATCAGTCACAATAAACTGTGGAGTTATTCTGTTGTAAATAGGATGACAGATTTCAGGGACCGGGTAGCTCAGTTTTGAGTTTATCCGTTAAGAAAAAGAAAAAGAAAAACATAATAGTGTAAGTGCGATTAAAGGCTTTGGCAGAACAAGAGGTTGAGAAATTGGTTTTGTCTGCAATGAAATTGTTGTATGGTTTTCCAAGAAATCCCAGTCAAGTATTTGCAATTTAGTCTACACGGGAGCTCAAAGAGTTAAGCAGCTTGCTTAATCGCATCCATAATATTTCATTCCTTCATCCCAGCTCTGCAAAGATCACCAAAAAACAAGCTGGCAGATTATGATCAAATAAAGCAGCTCCACCAGACTACATCATGCATATTTCGAAAATCATTAAGCACACGCCTTAGAAACACTGTTTCCCATTAAAAAGATGCTTTAAATATTGAGCTAAATGGCATTATTAAGTACCGATAGTCCAACACTGCAACTTGGAAAATCGTCCATGTTTTCTGGGTTCAAGAAGCTGCTAGGTGCAGATCAATTCAGGCTTTTAGTTTTAGTTAGATAACAGGTATACCTGAAGAAGATATCCGTGCAGCCAATCTAATGTCTGTGAAAATGTAGTTGCTGATACATTTACAACTGTTAAACCCTGTTCCGAAGGACAAACACGTATGAAAAGGGAAAAAAACAGAGAGTTCAATATCAGTTCAAGTTCAAACAACTCGGATGTAAGAAAATTGGAGAGTTGAGTCAAACTACACCTCTAAAATTAAAACAAGTGGGAATAGAAAATCTCTGTTGATTTGCTTCCTCTAACAAGGCGACTCATTACTCCATACTAAATACCAATCCAAGAAATTTGAACAAATGAATGGTAAACCCAAGCCATGGCCCAATTATTTTATCAGCAATCTAAGGGCATCATGTTCTCCCCATAGTCATAATTGATTACCCTTTCCAACTAAATCTGTTTTTATATCAAATCTAAGATACCTCTATATGACATTATGTTGCAAACAAAATGCTACATATTGAACGAACAAGAGGATGGGAACAAATGTTTCATCCTAACAACTAATAAACAGACCTGAAATGGCATACCTGTGACTTGAATGTACAAAGATAGTTTTGAATAGTCTTCAAGTTTGTTATTAGACTATCTGTATCCTGTAATAAGAAAAATAACAAATGAAGTTGGAACAGAAAGCTCAATCAAGTAAATAGCAGATCAAAGAAATAAACAATGACAAACATGTCTGTTGAAGAAAAGGAACCGAGAATTAGCAAAAGAAAATTTAAGATGTCAACTCACACACTTTTGACAACTAACAATGAATCAAAAGTTTTGCACACATGGACAAGTTAGAAGGCTTCATCTAATGCCTTAGATTGCCTCGTTAAACAGTCTCAACTTGACAAAGGTATCCAAACCTATCTTATAGAATTATGTGTTCAAAATGGATATTTAAATATTCTCTAGGGTTATCCGTGTCTTTGGAGGGTCATATTCCCAGACCAATGTTAGGAAATCTGTCAATCATAGGTGTCAAACATGGGTACTTCAGAAAATGAATAGTTGGAGCAACATAGATCAAATCACATTTATCTAGCTTATGAGAATTATGGACAAATTTACCTAGTATAAAAATTCAAGTAATTGCACTATGACGAGAATTGTTATTACTACCTGGACTGGACATTTACCACCTAATGTCTGAGTAGCAATTCTCTCCTCTAGTAATGCCTGCATATAAATGTTGATTTGAATTTAGAAAATCATGCATGATTGAGAAAAGAGATCATATGAGGGAGCAAGTGAAATACAGCCCCAGTTAAAGAAAGGCACCTTCATACTATCAGGAACAACTATACAAGAACCTTTATTAAAAATTTAACAAAGGACACCTTCAGGCTATCAAGAACAACTATACAAGAACCTTATTAAATCTTTTAACAAGTGGCACCTTAATACTATAAAAAATAACAGTCAAATGGACCCGTTTGTTTATAAATTTTCACTTGGAATAGCCTATCCACAAATGGAATCTTCTAAAAAATCTCCACAATTCACTAAATGAACCATCTATACTCTTGAGAATTCAAAATCCTTAACAAGGTGCTTTCTTCGCTGTACAAATAAAGTTTCTAATTGTACAGGAACCATAACCGACATTGGAACCAAATTTAACAATTTGAGCCACATTATTAATAGGTGTCTCCTCCATCGGATCAATTTGAACCAAATTTAGAAAGTGAATCAGAACCATAACCGACATTGGATTTTCATTGAATGTGAATATTAATAGGCGTCTCCTCCATCGGATCAATTTAGCAATTTGAGCCACATTATTTACTAAAACAAATTTAACTCATCTGTACGATTCTCCCGAGTTTACTTGTTAAAACTGGATACAGAAAAAGTATGATCATACCTTATGATCAAATTCAGACATCTTCAGAACTATGGGTATTACTATTGGTTTAGGGCTAGATTTTTCTTTTCTAGCAGTATTTCCATTTCCCTCTGGTACCTTAACAGTTTCACCTGCACGAAGAAAAAACGGTTAACAAATAATCTGCATATTGCACCTTTGCATAGCCTCTAAAACTGATACATACACCCTGCTTAAAATGGCATGAGATTCCATGCCAAATAAAAAGAATTTAGAGCAGAAATCCACCTTTACCAGAAGAAGCAGTTGCTAGAGCCATGGACTTTACAGATTTTGAGACTTTGTTCACCTCGTCAACTGACACACCTTCAGCCACATGCACAGGATGGTTTTGGCCATTTTCTGTACTACTTCGAGAAGCAGTAGTTGACTTATTTTCCATTTGCACTGCGGTTTTATCATCCGATACCATGGACAGCGGGGATGGTCCATGCACAGAGGTTGGAGTTTTAAGCTCATCATTAATTAAATAAATGCTAGGGTCCAAATGTATTCCCTGTTATTGTCATAAGAAACAAGGAGCCCACTAACTCAAAGTGACACACATCAAACTGCATAAGAACATGCCAATGCTTCCCAATCTATGCAATGGCTTGAGGGGGAAAATGTCATATAATGCTAAGCAGATTAGAACCTTCTTCAAGGTTTGCAGTAAAAAAATTGAACATGTAACACCTTAAATCTTAGGTTAGTAGTTTCGGGTTAATCCGAGTGGGCCTTAGAAAAAAACCATTAACCTTGTAAGGAAGCCTAACACAAATTAGTGTTGGATTGGGCTTGTTTGGGGCTCAACATAGGTAAAAAAGAGTATTTTTATACTAGAGATAAAGAAAGAAGGATTAGGAGAGTAATTAACCCATAAACTTTTGGAAATGTTGAATTTTCTTAATTGAGGTGAGGTCTCACTTGATGCCTCTTCTTTTTCCTCCCATAAACTTTGTATTCTTCCTTCTTCTTCATTCCATCTTTCTTCTCTAAGAGCTTAGCCAAAAGTTGGAACTTTATAGTTTTACAAGCCTAGACCAACACTTACAAGGTAAGAATCATGACCTCCATCTTCTAGGCTTCAAATCAAGCTCTTAATCTTCCCATTTTGTCATGGTAGCTATGAGAAGGGGATTTAGTGGGGGTTTGGAGCCTTAGGTTAGTTCAGCTTGTTTTTGGAGGATTTGAGTCTTAGGAAACCTCTAAAACATGTTTCTAAGCTCTTAATCATGTTGGTAATCTATATACTTGATTTTATCTAGTTAGAAAAGTTAGAGAAAGCTCCAAGGCAAAATAACACTTGGTTAAACTTTGAGTGTTTTCAGCAGCTTAGAAACTCAAGGTAACTTATTTCTAACTCAATTCTACTGCAATATAGATCACTAGGTGTTTTTGTTAGCTTGCATGAGTCTTGAAGTATGTTCATGGTAGATTTTAGTGTTTGGTGTTTCTCAGCATGTTAATGAACCTATTATGACCCCTATAATCAGACATAACATTTTAATAACGTTTGGGAACCTCTGTAGGACTTATATGAGTGTTGGGGAGGTATTTTCGTGCTCAAAATAGGGTATTTCTGGGCGTGAGTATTGGTACTGGAAGAACAATATCGATATTGTTCTTCATACGCTAAAAACAAAGGGATTTTAGGCTAGAAGTATTGATACCAAGGTCACTTAGCAGATTTTAGTAGCCATGCTTGGTATCGATACCCATGAGAGTATCAATACCAAGGGTAGAGTATCGATACTCCCCAATAGGGCTATCGATACTTAGGTATTTTTTAAAACACGAAGTCAAATTCGCTATCGATACTCGGGAAAGTATCAATACCACAGACCAAGAGTATTGATACTCAAACTAAAGTATCGATACTAGCCCTTTTCTATCAACCTTCAATAAGTCAGTAGTATCGATACCCAGAGGTCAGTATTGATACTGAAGGGCTTAGTATCGTTATCCACGAACA